CGGCACCCTGCCCTCCTCCCTGGGCAGCCTCTCTGCGCTCGTCAACCTGTGAGCCCCCTCTCGTGCATTGCACCACCCTACGCGGGTATATATGATATGCCTCGTCTTGCTGCAGTGCACCCCGGAGAGGGGAGAAAGCGAGGGAGCGAGGCTAGTGAGCAGTGCAGACGCTACATGCTAAGATAAGCCTTCCTCAACATCATTCCCGGGTCTCCCCAACCCTCCTTGCAGCATTCTGAGCACCAACGGTTTCTCGGGCTCCATTCCGAATTCCCTCAGCAAACTGACGTCGCTGGAGTACCTGTGAGTGGCACCCTGTCACTGCGGCCGGCAGATGACTGTAAAATCAACTCAATAGTCACTGCAGTACTAGCGCCCCTGTTACAATTGCAGTCCGCAGCAAAGCATGCCGCTGCATGCTTTGCCAACAACATGCGACTGAAGTCTCATGCCAGTGTGATGGCGATCCCAGCCGCTACTGCTGCACTGCAGTCCCTCCTGCCCCGCTCATGCACTGCCCTTCTCATTCCTTTGCGCTCCTGCCTAATGCTGCCTGGCTGCTCCAGCCAGTCCGTGCAGTCACGTGCACCACATTCTATTCTCTGCACTCGCCTCTGCTTGCGAACCTGCCCTGACCGCAGATACTTGGACGCCAATGCGCTGTCTGGCTCCATCCCTGCCTTTATCAGCAATAGCCCTGGCCTCAAGCACCTGTACGTGTCCCGCTCTTGCCCTTTGCTCTTGCATCCGTTGATATGTATGCTTCGCTGTCACATCCACCACCCCTGCTGCCCCTGTTCCCAACGCAACCCTCTCGTCCTCATCTCACGGCTCCTCCCACAAATCCCCCACCCACCCCTCTGCTTGCTGCCCTCCCCCCCTCCTTCCCCCCACTCCCCCCATGCTGCCTTGGCCCTGTGCCAGCGTGCTGCAGTACAATGGGTTTACAGGGCAAATACCGGACTCCCTGGGCAATGTCACCAACCTGGAGGCGCTGTGAGTTGAAGGCACAGGGCGGGAGAGGGCGGGTAAGGCCAGATGGGGAGTGGTAGGTCAGGGGAAGTGCATGGGGGGGACGAAGAAAGGGAGGGAGGGAGGGGGAGAGGAAAGAGCCCCTGAGCCTTGCTCCTGAGCCTATATAAGCTCCTCCTGTCTCCTGACTCCTTGGTTAGTTCTCAGTTCATTTCTCATCTACTTGCTGGTAGCGGCTCGCACCGGCGGCCGTAGGCCGCCGTCGCTCGCGGCGCAGCCTGCGGCCGCGCGTTAGGGGACGGCAAGAAGCTACGGACCTGTCATCTCTACAACAACAACATACAAGCGGGCCTTCTAGGCGGTTTCCAGGCATGGGGGTCCCTGGCGTCCCTTAATTATGCAGGTACCCACGCTTGAAGCACTGGCAGGGCGACTAACGCCCGCGGACCAGCATTACGCCGGTCGGCGATCTCCCGCTACCTCGCTGCGCGGAGATCCTCCAGCAGACAATACACGGCGCGCTCCAACTCCCGGAATACTGACACGGCGCCGTCGATTACTTCTACAGCTTGCGCCCCTTCCAGCTTGTCCTCCAGATCCGCCAGGACGACGGCGGGCCCCACCGGCAGCGGTATTCCCTGAGCGAGCCCGGGCCACGCGGCGGTCAGCGCCGCCCTCGCCGCTGCTGCCTGTGTCGCGTACGCAACCGCCTGCCTCTCCGACAGCAACCCCTCCTGTTCAGCGCAGCCGAGGGCATACCCCGACACCCCCACCACCGTCGTCAAGCGCGCGAGGCAGTCCCTGGCTGAGTCCAGACGCCGAAGCGTGTCCTCCGCCGCTGCCCGGATCGCCGCCTCGGGCACTGGTTGCCCGCTCCTCGCGTGGCCTGGGGGAAACTCCCCCGTCCGCTGACGCGTGCGCCCGTGACTTCCTGCCGTCAGTCCAGAGTGGTCCTCCCACCCACCGTTCTCCCCCTGCTCGCCGGTCCCCGCCCCTTCCTGGCCCACTTCCTGAGGAGGCGGAGCCTGCCCTGCTGGGAACGGTGCTGGCGCCGCAAGCGGCTGAGCGCTGGGAGGAGGCGGCGGCGGTGGGGGCGGAGGAATTGCCGCTGGCGGAACCGGAGTCTGCATCACTGGCGGAGTCCCCCCCAGCCCTGGAACCCAGGGGGGTTCCACTCGATACAAGATCCCAGGAACTGGGGGCCCCTGCGGCGGCCAGGCAGGGGGAAGCTGCGCCGGCGCCGCCACTACTCCTGGCAGGAGAGTCACGGGAGCCGCTGGAGGGGGAGCTGCGGGAGCCGCCGGCACTGGTGCTGGGGCAGCCGGTGCTGCCAATGCCTAGATTACCGCAGGCAAGCGTGCAAGCACCCGAGCGACAACTTCGTTGACGCTCGGGGAGCGGGCGGCTGAGCCCCCTCGCTGCACCTGCGGGCCATGCTGCGGGGGACGCGATGGCCTCCGAGACCCACGCCGGCGCAAATCACGCACTGGCAGACGGCGGGGTGGGCTCCGCCACTCGGGCGTCCGCGAGCGGTAGCGCGGCTCAGGGGACCGCGCGGGCCAACGACCACCCGCCCGCCGACCGTACAGCCGTTCCGGGGATTGCCCCTGCCCATACGACCGAGACTACGCCATCACGGGGAGGCGTTCGCTGGTGGACCCCACAAGGGCGTTCTCGACGAGCGCCAATGGCTAGCGCCGCGTCGACGCCGGGGAATCGCGGAAGCGAACGGCGGGGAGCGAGGAGGAGTATAGCTCGGGGAGGTGCAGGCGGCACGTTCGTCCAGGCTGTTCGCCGCAGATTGGCTGACGCGACTGTTATCTCGGGGGCAGAGGCCAGGCCGGAGAGCCCTGGCAGGGCGGAGATTAGACTAAGGGAGTCGGCAGCTGGAGGAGAGGGCGCTGCTGCTGGGAATGGCGAGGAAGGATCGGGTGACTCCAGATATACCCCTTCTTCCGAGGGGGACTCCGAGTCTGTGACTGGGGAGGACAGTGCTGCGGAAGGAGGGGGCCTGAGGCGGAGTGCGGCCCGAGCCGCCCCGAACCAGAGAAATGCGGAATTCGAGGATTTTCCGAACCTGAATCCCCAATTCCTCTCGCCCGAGGTGCTGGCGGTCCGGGATGACCTTTTCGCCCAAGTCGCCAACTGGAATATCGCTTCCCTTTGCGACAGTCGCCAACCCCCGCTTGCCCGCCACCCACCCCGCCACATTCGGGACCAATTCGCCAGCTGTCTGCTGACCCCGCTCCTCCGATTGGCCAAGGACCCTGACTCGGTGCCAGCTTGGCGACTTCTGATATTCCTTGCTCGCCTTACCCTCCGCGTTGGCACAGCCCGCAAGCCTGATTGGCCCTCCGTCGAGCGCAGTTTGGACTCATTTCGCCAGGGTTCCTGGGTAGATCTTTATGTTGAAGCTGTTGCCGCCATCACTCTCCCTCCTCCCCAGCGCCACATGCCTGACAGGACTGGGATTTCATCCCCGTGCCTCGGGCTTAGCTAAGCGCGGGAACCTTGGCAAAGCCCTTTAGGCGCTAGAATCCACCCCGCTTATCCCCTTGTCCCTCGGGTCCTTGCCTCTCTTGTTACCGACCCTGCTGTTCCTGTCTCGCGCCTTGACGCGCTTGTCGCTGCATTCGCTGAATTTGCCTCTACCTGCCGCCTTGACTACACTACCGCTCTAGTCTCTGACCCTGCCCATCCTCCGTCCGTCGGGGGTGCTCCTGCCCTTGGTAGTGACGTCTTAGAGGACAGGCACTACGAGCTTGCTTTCCTTTCGGAGGCTGCTCCCCATCTCTGCTCCATGCTGTTAGTCCCTGAGGGTGACCCAGACGCCTTCGACATCCTGACCCCTCGCACCTACGCTGAGGCCACCTCGGGACCCTGGGCCTCTCAGTGGATAGCTGCCATGGAGCAGGAGATGGCATCTTGGAGGTCCACCGGCACTTACGTCGACGCAGTTCCCCCGCCTGGGGTGAACGTAGTCGATGGTCGGTGGCTCTTCAAGGTGAAGTGCCTCCCTGGAGAGCCGCCTGTCTTCAAGGCGCGCTACGTGGCCAGAGGCTTCAGCCAGCGCGAGGGGGTTGACTTCTTCCAGACCTTCGCCCCGACCCCGAAGATGACCACTCTTCGTGTTGTGTGATGTCATCATATGCTATCACATTCTGTCTGCCTCCCATCCCATATTTTTCAACTTGCATGTGTGGTTTGAACGTGTGCAAGAATTTGTGTGTGATGTGTTCTGGAGTTTGGGAATGTGTTTTGTGTTATTTTGTTTGAGCAGGTTTTTTGTGATGATAGATCTTGAGAAGATCTTTCCGACGCAACGAGAATCCCTTCAATCGGAGCAAGAACGCGAAAGCTATGAAGATTCAAAGTTCATGAGCTTGCGTTACAATTGCGGCGGTTACAAAGTGAAGTTGTGGGGTGACTTTATATGGAGTTGGGACCTTTGGGGTTGGGTAAACTTGTCACTCTACTGTAACAGCTGCAAATAGGTTGGGAACAACCAAGCTAGGTTGGCAAGGGTGGCCAACTTGGATGGATTGGTTGGGAAGGGACAAAGGTCAAAGTTGAGGTTCCTATAGGGAGGGAATCTTTGTGCTTATGGGGTTTCCTTGGTTGGGGACTCTCTTGGGACCTTCCCTCTCATCCCTCTCTTCTATCCCAACCTTTCTCTTGCTCCTCTAATTCCTTGTGAGATTCTTGAACTTTGATTGAACTCTTGAGATTGAGTTAAGTTCTCCTCCTACAGCTTACCCCCTAGTGCGTCGAAAGCCATAGCGTCGCGAATACTTCATCAATTAACATGATTCAAATTGGGAACGGTAGCTGAGATTAAGAGCTCCAACATATCCAAGTTTCGCGATATTCCAACGGCTAGTTTTTCGTCGACGTCGTTTCTTGTGAAGACGACTTTTCTGTCCAGAATTTCGGATTTATATTTTGAGTAATTCTAGCTCCTAAGTTCACCTAGACTCCGTCCTTAATCCTAACACTTCGGGCGCTGCTACACGTAGCAGCATAGCGCGACTACGAGCTTCACTCCCTCGACTTCTCTACTGCCTCTCTTCAGGGCAGCCTACACGAGCAGGTCTACCTGCGTCGACCTCAGGGCTTCACTGGTACCTTCCCCCCTAGGACCCAGTGGCTTCTCCGGCGCCCGGTCTACGGCCTGCGTCAGGCTCCTCGCGAGTGGCACGACACGCTGCGTGCCACGCTAGCAGACCTGCAGTTCTTTCCGTCCTCTGCTGACCCCTTGCTGTTTGTGCGTTCCGGCCAGACTCCGTTCTACATCCTTGTCTACGTAGACGACTTGGTCTTTGCTACTGCTGACAGGGACGCACTGGCCTCTGTGAAGGCTGAGCTGCTGAAAAGACACACCTGCACTGACCTTGGAGAGCTGCGTCGCTATCTTGGCCTGCAGATCTCTAGGGACGGAGCAGCACGCACCATCACTCTGACACAGTTACACTTGGTGCGTCAGGTCCTTCAGAGGTTTGGTCTTCAGTTCTCCTCCGCACAGCCCACACCTCTACCTGTACACCATGGGCTCTCCGCTCCCGTTCCTCAGGAGCCAGTAGAGCCCAGTGGCCCCTACGCAGAGCTCGTGGGTTGCCTCATGTACCTGATGACTTGCACTCGCCCATATCTCGCATACCCTCTCAGCATCCTGGCTCGCTTTGTGGCTACAGGCAGACACCGACCTCAGGACTGGTCTGCCGCTAAGAGGGTTTTGCGTTATCTTGCTAGTACATCGGGCATGGGGTTAGTGCTAGGAGGACGCAGGCCAGTGGTCCTTACTGGGCACACAGACGCTTCTTGGACAGACGACTCTGAGACGCTCAGGTCGTCGCAGGGCTACTGCTTTAGCCTTGGTTCGGGTGCTATCTCTTGGAGATCCACTCCCTCGTCGTCTGTGGCTCAGTCCAGCTGTGAGGCTAAGATCTACGCTGGTGCCATGGCGGTACAGGAGCTCCGCTGGCTGACCTTCTTGCTCACAGACTTAGGTGAGCGGCCTAGCTCTGCCCCGGTCCTGTACGCTGACAACAGGGCCATGATACTCCTGTGTCAGGAGCCTCGGCTTGAGGGCAGAGCAAAGCATATCCAGCTGCGGTACTTCCTCCTGCGCGAGCTACAGCAGCGCCGCCAGGCCCGTGTAGTTCACTTGGCCTCAGGTGCCAACACTGCTGATATCTTTACTAAGGCGCTTGCGCCTAAAGATCATCAGCGGCACTGTGTACAGCTTGGTCTTGTTCCTGTAGCTACACACCTGTTAGGATCCTGATTGTGTACTCTCTATTATATATGCCTGTCAGACTGGCCTTGTGGCCTTACCTCAAGTGGCTGGACTAGTAGTGTCGCTCTGGCTTGCTTTAGTCTTATTTGTACCCTTGCTGACTGGTCTCCAGACCCCTGCCTCAGTGGTTGGACTAGTAGTGCCACCCTGAGCTGTTTGCTTCTTGCTTAGCTTCACCTCTTGTCTAGCCTAGGGGGTGTGTCAATTTATACATGTTAGCTGCGTACAAGTTATAGGCTAGACTGGGGTATGCTTCTAGTGAGTACAACCAACTAGTACTTGTTCTAGGTTTCCACTTCTAGTTCTATTATTATTCAGTTCTTACTTTGACACCGCATACTTCAATACTTCTACGAGTTCCATCGACTTTAGACGCTGGTTTTGTCTTTTAAGACATATTTATCATACACTTGAAAAATAAAAGGTAGAATCTAATGTCAAACAGTGTTGTGCTTTTATTTCTGATATTGGTTTTGGTGTCTTAAACTATGACCTAATTGATCAAAATGATAATCCAAATTGCCCTTGTATTGGAGAGGTGTACTACTCTATGTGATGAAACAAGGTACTAGAAAAGGTGTACTGAAATATTGGTTGCGGTCCACTCATAGCAGGTACAGTGCAGGTCAAATCCAGTCTTCTGCTGCTTTGCCAAGCCAAGAACTGCCAGCCAGGCAAGAAACTTTTCCGCCTTGCTGGAGTGCCAACAATGCGCTACCTGCCCATCAGGTATGCTGCGATTCTAGCGAGGGAAATTGGGCTGCTGCTGCTGGTGCAGATGTGTCGCATGCTGGTGAATGTTGATGCGGCCCGCACCCCTGCTTCGCAGCCAATTACAGAAAGGCTGGGTGAACGCCCCAAGCTGGTTGCTGCAACTACCGCCCTGACACAAACCGCCTACAGCTTTGACGGCGGACAAAGCGGTACACTGCGGTAATGGATCGTAAAAATCTGTAACACAACCCACCCACAAATGAAAGAAGCACTGAGAACCTTGTGTCGTGCAATACGTCCGACTGATGCATTGCGGTGATGCCAGTCTCAACAAGTTGAGTAGCAATACCAAGATGACAGTGCTTGAGCCAGTACACTACGAGAGAACACATGAAACCTGAGGTTTCGTTGTCTTCCTGCATTCGCTATAGCCGGAGATATCATACGCATTGCCAGACTTGCGAGTTGTCGTGCTTGACGTAACGCGGAACGCAGTAGCGCCGGATCATTACATCGCGATTTATTTGAAATATACGATCATTTTCCGAAGCCTATCACATTCGCCTACTTTAGCGACCTCGCGCCGCGGGAATCAGCACGCTACGAGTGATGAGGTGGTTACCGACGATGGCGCGTGGAGAGGTTGCGAGGGCGGCGGTGGTAGCCTTGATGGTGGCGCGCTGCTGCATGCCTCTCGCACAGGCCGCACCCGTGTTGGACCCTGACAGTAAGCCGGTGTCAGACTCATGAGATTCTAGAAGCGGAGCTGCTAGGAGCGGACCTGATAGGAGCGGACCTGCTAGAAGCGGACCTGCTAAAAGCGGACCTTTAAATGAAGAAACCCATTTCGTGCATGTGCTACGGTGTGGCATGGCATGTGGTGCATGGTAGTGGACGCGTTGGAGGATCTGGCATCCGCATGGAGCAGCTTGGACGGCTCGGCCACATGGAGCAGAGGCACGGACTGCGACAGCATGGCTGCTGTGTACTGCGACGACGACGGGCATGTCGTTGCACTGTAGGTGTCATGATGGCCCGCGGCCCGACATGCATGCTGGGGCTGTCACTGCATGTCTTGAGGAAACGGGACGTATAACCCGGTTGGTCAACATTAGATACACGCCGCCGCTCTGCACTGTGCGTTTTTTTCCCTCGCTCCCATTCAACTGTCTCTTCCCCCACTCACCCCCTTCCCCCCTCCCTCCTCCCCCACCCCTCCCCTCGCCTTGCATTCCAGCGAAGTGAGAAACGGCAACATATCAGCGTCTATTCCTGAGAGCATCACCGCCCTGGAAGAACTGTCATGGCTGTGAGTGGGAGCAGAGCAAGGCATGGTGAGTGACATGACATGCGTGGGAGTGACATGGGTGGGAGTGACATGACATAGGGAACTGACATGATGATATGGGGAACTGACATGGCATGTGGGACTGACATGATATGGGTGGGGAGGCACATGGGTTCTGCTGTAGCAAATGGCATGACATCGTGGTCTGGCTCGTGTTCCACGGAGCCGACAGCAGTGGACTCCAAATCCTTGATATTATCTTATTCGCTTTGCGTCACCTCCCCCTGCTGCCTTTAACTCCATCTGTCTCCCTCCCCTCCGTCCTCCCCATTCATATCCACCTGTGCCTTCCCGCAGTTACATCAAGTCCAGTGAGCTCACTGGCTCCCTCCCCCCTGCTCTCTTCACTCTGCCCAATCTCGTACACGTGTGAGACTCACTCGCCCCCGCATTGCTTCTGGTTGCTGCCACTGCAGTCAGCACAACGGGTGTGAACTAGCTGCTCCATGTGCTGCACCATGTGCTGCTCCATGTACTGCACCATGTGCTGCACCATGTGCTGCTCCATGTACTGCACCATGTGCTGCTCCATGTACTGCACCATGCCCATGCGGATTTGTCCTTTCTCCCTCCCTCCCGCCCTTCTAGACATGTGCATTGCACGTTGGAGCTTCTGGCCCCACACGTTCACCTCAACTCTGCGCCTGCACCATGACCGTGGGTTGAAATAATGGATTTGGACGTGTCCGCCTGCATGTGCCTGTGTGCTGTATCGCCGTGTGTGCATGGTCCCCGTGCAGGGTTCTCTCAGGCAATCAGCTCACGGGCAACATACCCGATACAGTAGGAAGTGCAACAGGCCTTCAATCCCTGTCAGTCCCCCTTCTTCCCTGCTCCACCTCATTCCCATCCGTCTGAACGCCGTGCTCAGATTCTTCCAAGCCTCCTCTCGCCACCCTCCCTTCTTCCACCACCACCATCCGTCGTCCATCCGGCCTGCCTTTGAGTCGAGCTCATCATTTATTAGCCAGCATTTCTTGCCACAGCAACTTCCTTCCCTCCCGACCCAACCTGCTCTTTCGCCCATCCCTTCCATCCCTGCCATTCACCTGGCATCCGCCTGCCTGGCCCTAAAACCACTGCTCCATCGCTCCCTGCAGGCTTCTGGATGCCAACCAGCTCAGCGGCACCCTGCCCTCCTCCCTGGGCAGCCTCTCTGCGCTCGTCAACCTGTGAGCCCCCTCTCGTGCATTGCACCACCCTACGCGGGTATATATGATATGCCTCGTCTTGCTGCAGTGCACCCCGGAGAGGGGAGAAAGCGAGGGAGCGAGGCTAGTGAGCAGTGCAGACGCTACATGCTAAGATAAGCCTTCCTCAACATCATTCCCGGGTCTCCCCAACCCTCCTTGCAGCATTCTGAGCACCAACGGTTTCTCGGGCTCCATTCCGAATTCCCTCAGCAAACTGACGTCGCTGGAGTACCTGTGAGTGGCACCCTGTCACTGCGGCCGGCAGATGACTGTAAAATCAACTCAATAGTCACTGCAGTACTAGCGCCCCTGTTACAATTGCAGTCCGCAGCAAAGCATGCCGCTGCATGCTTTGCCAACAACATGCGACTGAAGTCTCATGCCAGTGTGATGGCGATCCCAGCCGCTACTGCTGCACTGCAGTCCCTCCTGCCCCGCTCATGCACTGCCCTTCTCATTCCTTTGCGCTCCTGCCTAATGCTGCCTGGCTGCTCCAGCCAGTCCGTGCAGTCACGTGCACCACATTCTATTCTCTGCACTCGCCTCTGCTTGCGAACCTGCCCTGACCGCAGATACTTGGACGCCAATGCGCTGTCTGGCTCCATCCCTGCCTTTATCAGCAATAGCCCTGGCCTCAAGCACCTGTACGTGTCCCGCTCTTGCCCTTTGCTCTTGCATCCGTTGATATGTATGCTTCGCTGTCACATCCACCACCCCTGCTGCCCCTGTTCCCAACGCAACCCTCTCGTCCTCATCTCACGGCTCCTCCCACAAATCCCCCACCCACCCCTCTGCTTGCTGCCCTCCCCCCCTCCTTCCCCCCACTCCCCCATGCTGCCTTGGCCCTGTGCCAGCGTGCTGCAGTACAATGGGTTTACAGGGCAAATACCGGACTCCCTGGGCAATGTCACCAACCTGGAGGCGCTGTGAGTTGAAGGCACAGGGCGGGAGAGGGCGGGTAAGGCCAGATGGGGAGTGGTAGGTCAGGGGAAGTGCATGGGGGGACGAAGAAAGGGAGGGAGGGAGGGGGAGAGGAAAGAGCCCCTGAGCCTTGCTCCTGAGCCTATATAAGCTCCTCCTGTCTCCTGACTCCTTGGTTAGTTCTCAGTTCATTTCTCATCTACTTGCTGGTAGCGGCTCGCACCGGCGGCCGTAGGCCGCCGTCGCTCGCGGCGCAGCCTGCGGCCGCGCGTTAGGGGACGGCAAGAAGCTACGGACCTGTCATCTCTACAACAACAACATACAAGCGGGCCTTCTAGGCGGTTTCCAGGCATGGGGGTCCCTGGCGTCCCTTAATTATGCAGGTACCCACGCTTGAAGCACTGGCAGGGCGACTAACGCCCGCGGACCAGCATTACGCCGGTCGGCGATCTCCCGCTACCTCGCTGCGCGGAGATCCTCCAGCAGACAATACACGGCGCGCTCCAACTCCCGGAATACTGACACGGCGCCGTCGATTACTTCTACAGCTTGCGCCCCTTCCAGCTTGTCCTCCAGATCCGCCAGGACGACGGCGGGCCCCACCGGCAGCGGTATTCCCTGAGCGAGCCCGGGCCACGCGGCGGTCAGCGCCGCCCTCGCCGCTGCTGCCTGTGTCGCGTACGCAACCGCCTGCCTCTCCGACAGCAACCCCTCCTGTTCAGCGCAGCCGAGGGCATACCCCGACACCCCCACCACCGTCGTCAAGCGCGCGAGGCAGTCCCTGGCTGAGTCCAGACGCCGAAGCGTGTCCTCCGCCGCTGCCCGGATCGCCGCCTCGGGCACTGGTTGCCCGCTCCTCGCGTGGCCTGGGGGAAACTCCCCCGTCCGCTGACGCGTGCGCCCGTGACTTCCTGCCGTCAGTCCAGAGTGGTCCTCCCACCCACCGTTCTCCCCCTGCTCGCCGGTCCCCGCCCCTTCCTGGCCCACTTCCTGAGGAGGCGGAGCCTGCCCTGCTGGGAACGGTGCTGGCGCCGCAAGCGGCTGAGCGCTGGGAGGAGGCGGCGGCGGTGGGGGCGGAGGAATTGCCGCTGGCGGAACCGGAGTCTGCATCACTGGCGGAGTCCCCCCCAGCCCTGGAACCCAGGGGGGTTCCACTCGATACAAGATCCCAGGAACTGGGGGCCCCTGCGGCGGCCAGGCAGGGGGAAGCTGCGCCGGCGCCGCCACTACTCCTGGCAGGAGAGTCACGGGAGCCGCTGGAGGGGGAGCTGCGGGAGCCGCCGGCACTGGTGCTGGGGCAGCCGGTGCTGCCAATGCCTAGATTACCGCAGGCAAGCGTGCAAGCACCCGAGCGACAACTTCGTTGACGCTCGGGGAGCGGGCGGCTGAGCCCCCTCGCTGCACCTGCGGGCCATGCTGCGGGGGACGCGATGGCCTCCGAGACCCACGCCGGCGCAAATCACGCACTGGCAGACGGCGGGGTGGGCTCCGCCACTCGGGCGTCCGCGAGCGGTAGCGCGGCTCAGGGGACCGCGCGGGCCAACGACCACCCGCCGCCGACCGTACAGCCGTTCCGGGGATTGCCCCTGCCCATACGACCGAGACTACGCCATCACGGGGAGGCGTTCGCTGGTGGACCCCACAAGGGCGTTCTCGACGAGCGCCAATGGCTAGCGCCGCGTCGACGCCGGGGAATCGCGGAAGCGAACGGCGGGGAGCGAGGAGGAGTATAGCTCGGGGAGGTGCAGGCGGCACGTTCGTCCAGGCTGTTCGCCGCAGATTGGCTGACGCGACTGTTATCTCGGGGGCAGAGGCCAGGCCGGAGAGCCCTGGCAGGGCGGAGATTAGACTAAGGGAGTCGGCAGCTGGAGGAGAGGGCGCTGCTGCTGGGAATGGCGAGGAAGGATCGGGTGACTCCAGATATACCCCTTCTTCCGAGGGGGACTCCGAGTCTGTGACTGGGGAGGACAGTGCTGCGGAAGGAGGGGGCCTGAGGCGGAGTGCGGCCCGAGCCGCCCCGAACCAGAGAAATGCGGAATTCGAGGATTTTCCGAACCTGAATCCCCAATTCCTCTCGCCCGAGGTGCTGGCGGTCCGGGATGACCTTTTCGCCCAAGTCGCCAACTGGAATATCGCTTCCCTTTGCGACAGTCGCCAACCCCCGCTTGCCCGCCACCCACCCCGCCACATTCGGGACCAATTCGCCAGCTGTCTGCTGACCCCGCTCCTCCGATTGGCCAAGGACCCTGACTCGGTGCCAGCTTGGCGACTTCTGATATTCCTTGCTCGCCTTACCCTCCGCGTTGGCACAGCCCGCAAGCCTGATTGGCCCTCCGTCGAGCGCAGTTTGGACTCATTTCGCCAGGGTTCCTGGGTAGATCTTTATGTTGAAGCTGTTGCCGCCATCACTCTCCCTCCTCCCCAGCGCCACATGCCTGACAGGACTGGGATTTCATCCCCGTGCCTCGGGCTTAGCTAAGCGCGGGAACCTTGGCAAAGCCCTTTAGGCGCTAGAATCCACCCCGCTTATCCCCTTGTCCCTCGGGTCCTTGCCTCTCTTGTTACCGACCCTGCTGTTCCTGTCTCGCGCCTTGACGCGCTTGTCGCTGCATTCGCTGAATTTGCCTCTACCTGCCGCCTTGACTACACTACCGCTCTAGTCTCTGACCCTGCCCATCCTCCGTCCGTCGGGGGTGCTCCTGCCCTTGGTAGTGACGTCTTAGAGGACAGGCACTACGAGCTTGCTTTCCTTTCGGAGGCTGCTCCCCATCTCTGCTCCATGCTGTTAGTCCCTGAGGGTGACCCAGACGCCTTCGACATCCTGACCCCTCGCACCTACGCTGAGGCCACCTCGGGACCCTGGGCCTCTCAGTGGATAGCTGCCATGGAGCAGGAGATGGCATCTTGGAGGTCCACCGGCACTTACGTCGACGCAGTTCCCCCGCCTGGGGTGAACGTAGTCGATGGTCGGTGGCTCTTCAAGGTGAAGTGCCTCCCTGGAGAGCCGCCTGTCTTCAAGGCGCGCTACGTGGCCAGAGGCTTCAGCCAGCGCGAGGGGGTTGACTTCTTCCAGACCTTCGCCCCGACCCCGAAGATGACCACTCTTCGGGCGCTGCTACACGTAGCAGCATAGCGCGACTACGAGCTTCACTCCCTCGACTTCTCTACTGCCTCTCTTCAGGGCAGCCTACACGAGCAGGTCTACCTGCGTCGACCTCAGGGCTTCACTGGTACCTTCCCCCCTAGGACCCAGTGGCTTCTCCGGCGCCCGGTCTACGGCCTGCGTCAGGCTCCTCGCGAGTGGCACGACACGCTGCGTGCCACGCTAGCAGACCTGCAGTTCTTTCCGTCCTCTGCTGACCCCTTGCTGTTTGTGCGTTCCGGCCAGACTCCGTTCTACATCCTTGTCTACGTAGACGACTTGGTCTTTGCTACTGCTGACAGGGACGCACTGGCCTCTGTGAAGGCTGAGCTGCTGAAAAGACACACCTGCACTGACCTTGGAGAGCTGCGTCGCTATCTTGGCCTGCAGATCTCTAGGGACGGAGCAGCACGCACCATCACTCTGACACAGTTACACTTGGTGCGTCAGGTCCTTCAGAGGTTTGGTCTTCAGTTCTCCTCCGCACAGCCCACACCTCTACCTGTACACCATGGGCTCTCCGCTCCCGTTCCTCAGGAGCCAGTAGAGCCCAGTGGCCCCTACGCAGAGCTCGTGGGTTGCCTCATGTACCTGATGACTTGCACTCGCCCATATCTCGCATACCCTCTCAGCATCCTGGCTCGCTTTGTGGCTACAGGCAGACACCGACCTCAGGACTGGTCTGCCGCTAAGAGGGTTTTGCGTTATCTTGCTAGTACATCGGGCATGGGGTTAGTGCTAGGAGGACGCAGGCCAGTGGTCCTTACTGGGCACACAGACGCTTCTTGGACAGACGACTCTGAGACGCTCAGGTCGTCGCAGGGCTACTGCTTTAGCCTTGGTTCGGGTGCTATCTCTTGGAGATCCACTCCCTCGTCGTCTGTGGCTCAGTCCAGCTGTGAGGCTAAGATCTACGCTGGTGCCATGGCGGTACAGGAGCTCCGCTGGCTGACCTTCTTGCTCACAGACTTAGGTGAGCGGCCTAGCTCTGCCCCGGTCCTGTACGCTGACAACAGGGCCATGATACTCCTGTGTCAGGAGCCTCGGCTTGAGGGCAGAGCAAAGCATATCCAGCTGCGGTACTTCCTCCTGCGCGAGCTACAGCAGCGCCGCCAGGCCCGTGTAGTTCACTTGGCCTCAGGTGCCAACACTGCTGATATCTTTACTAAGGCGCTTGCGCCTAAAGATCATCAGCGGCACTGTGTACAGCTTGGTCTTGTTCCTGTAGCTACACACCTGTTAGGATCCTGATTGTGTACTCTCTATTATATATGCCTGTCAGACTGGCCTTGTGGCCTTACCTCAAGTGGCTGGACTAGTAGTGTCGCTCTGGCTTGCTTTAGTCTTATTTGTACCCTTGCTGACTGGTCTCCAGACCCCTGCCTCAGTGGTTGGACTAGTAGTGCCACCCTGAGCTGTTTGCTTCTTGCTTAGCTTCACCTCTTGTCTAGCCTAGGGGGTGTGTCAATTTATACATGTTAGCTGCGTACAAGTTATAGGCTAGACTGGGGTATGCTTCTAGTGAGTACAACCAACTAGTACTTGTTCTAGGTTTCCACTTCTAGTTCTATTATTATTCAGTTCTTACTTTGACACCGCATACTTCAATACTTCTACGAGTTCCATCGACTTTAGACGCTGGTTTTGTCTTTTAAGACATATTTATCATACACTTGAAAAATAAAAGGTAGAATCTAATGTCAAACAGTGTTGTGCTTTTATTTCTGATATTGGTTTTGGTGTCTTAAACTATGACCTAATTGATCAAAATGATAATCCAAATTGCCCTTGTATTGGAGAGGTGTACTACTCTATGTGATGAAACAAGGTACTAGAAAAGGTGTACTGAAATATTGGTTGCGGTCCACTCATAGCAGGTACAGTGCAGGTCAAATCCAGTCTTCTGCTGCTTTGCCAAGCCAAGAACTGCCAGCCAGGCAAGAAACTTTTCCGCCTTGCTGGAGTGCCAACAATGCGCTACCTGCCCATCAGGTATGCTGCGATTCTAGCGAGGGAAATTGGGCTGCTGCTGCTGGTGCAGATGTGTCGCATGCTGGTGAATGTTGATGCGGCCCGCACCCCTGCTTCGCAGCCAATTACAGAAAGGCTGGGTGAACGCCCCAAGCTGGTTGCTGCAACTACCGCCCTGACACAAACCGCCTACAGCTTTGACGGCGGACAAAGCGGTACACTGCGGTAATGGATCGTAAAAATCTGTAACACAACCCACCCACAAATGAAAGAAGCACTGAGAACCTTGTGTCGTGCAATACGTCCGACTGATGCATTGCGGTGATGCCAGTCTCAACAAGTTGAGTAGCAATACCAAGATGACAGTGCTTGAGCCAGTACACTACGAGAGAACACATGAAACCTGAGGTTTCGTTGTCTTCCTGCATTCGCTATAGCCGGAGATATCATACGCATTGCCAGACTTGCGAGTTGTCGTGCTTGACGTAACGCGGAACGCAGTAGCGCCGGATCATTACATCGCGATTTATTTGAAATATACGATCATTTTCCGAAGCCTATCACATTCGCCTACTTTAGCGACCTCGCGCCGCGGGAATCAGCACGCTACGAGTGATGAGGTGGTTACCGACGATGGCGCGTGGAGAGGTTGCGAGGGCGGCGGTGGTAGCCTTGATGGTGGCGCGCTGCTGCATGCCTCTCGCACAGGCCGCACCCGTGTTGGACCCTGACAGTAAGCCGGTGTCAGACTCATGAGATTCTAGAAGCGGAGCTGCTAGGAGCGGACCTGATAGGAGCGGACCTGCTAGAAGCGGACCTGCTAAAAGCGGACCTTTAAATGAAGAAACCCATTTCGTGCATGTGCTACGGTGTGGCATGGCATGTGGTGCATGGTAGTGGACGCGTTGGAGGATCTGGCATCCGCATGGAGCAGCTTGGACGGCTCGGCCACATGGAGCAGAGGCACGGACTGCGACAGCATGGCTGCTGTGTACTGCGACGACGACGGGCATGTCGTTGCACTGTAGGTGTCATGATGGCCCGCGGCCCGACATGCATGCTGGGGCTGTCACTGCATGTCTTGAGGAAACGGGACGTATAACCCGGTTGGTCAACATTAGATACACGCCGCCGCTCTGCACTGTGCGTTTTTTTCCCTCGCTCCCATTCAACTGTCTCTTCCCCCCACTCACCCCCTTCCCCCCTCCCTCCTCCCCCCACCCCTCCCCTCGCCTTGCATTCCAGCGAAGTGAGAAACGGCAACATATCAGCGTCTATTCCTGAGAGCATCACCGCCCTGGAAGAACTGTCATGGCTGTGAGTGGGAGCAGAGCAAGGCATGGTGAGTGACATGACATGCGTGGGAGTGACATGGGTGGGAGTGACATGACATAGGGAACTGACATGATGATATGGGGAACTGACATGGCATGTGGGACTGACATGATATGGGTGGGGAGGCACATGGGTTCTGCTGTAGCAAATGGCATGACATCGTGGTCTGGCTCGTGTTCCACGGAGCCGACAGCAGTGGACTCCAAATCCTTGATATTATCTTATTCGCTTTGCGTCACCTCCCCCTGCTGCCTTTAACTCCATCTGTCTCCCTCCCCTCCGTCCTCCCCATTCATATCCACCTGTGCCTTCCCGCAGTTACATCAAGTCCAGTGAGCTCACTGGCTCCCTCCCCCCTGCTCTCTTCACTCTGCCCAATCTCGTACACGTGTGAGACTCACTCGCCCCCGCATTGCTTCTGGTTGCTGCCACTGCAGTCAGCACAACGGGTGTGAACTAGCTGCTCCATGTGCTGCACCATGTGCTGCTCCATGTACTGCACCATGTGCTGCACCATGTGCTGCTCCATGTACTGCACCATGTGCTGCTCCATGTACTGCACCATGCCCATGCGGATTTGTCCTTTCTCCCTCCCTCCCGCCCTTCTAGACATGTGCATTGCACGTTGGAGCTTCTGGCCCCACACGTTCACCTCAACTCTGCGCCTGCACCATGACCGTGGGTTGAAATAATGGATTTGGACGTGTCCGCCTGCATGTGCCTGTGTGCTGTATCGCCGTGTGTGCATGGTCCCCGTGCAGGGTTCTCTCAGGCAATCAGCTCACGGGCAACATACCCGATACAGTAGGAAGTGCAACAGGCCTTCAATCCCTGTCAGTCCCCCTTCTTCCCTGCTCCACCTCATTCCCATCCGTCTGAACGCCGTGCTCAGATTCTTCCAAGCCTCCTCTCGCCACCCTCCCTTCTTCCACCACCACCATCCGTCGTCCATCCGGCCTGCCTTTGAGTCGAGCTCATCATTTATTAGCCAGCATTTCTTGCCACAGCAACTTCCTTCCCTCCCGACCCAACCTGCTCTTTCGCCCATCCCTTCCATCCCTGCCATTCACCTGGCATCCGCCTGCCTGGCCCTAAAACCACTGCTCCATCGCTCCCTGCAGGCTTCTGGATGCCAACCAGCTCAGCGGCACCCTGCCCTCCTCCCTGGGCAGCCTCTCTGCGCTCGTCAACCTGTGAGCCCCCTCTCGTGCATTGCACCACCCTACGCGGGTATATATGATATGCCTCGTCTTGCTGCAGTGCACCCCGGAGAGGGGAGAAAGCGAGGGAGCGAGGCTAGTGAGCAGTGCAGACGCTACATGCTAAGATAAGCCTTCCTCAACATCATTCCCGGGTCTCCCCAACCCTCCTTGCAGCATTCTGAGCACCAACGGTTTCTCGGGCTCCATTCCGAATTCCCTCAGCAAACTGACGTCGCTGGAGTACCTGTGAGTGGCACCCTGTCACTGCGGCCGGCAGATGACTGTAAAATCAACTCAATAGTCACTGCAGTACTAGCGCCCCTGTTACAATTGCAGTCCGCAGCAAAGCATGCCGCTGCATGCTTTGCCAACAACATGCGACTGAAGTCTCATGCCAGTGTGATGGCGATCCCAGCCGCTACTGCTGCACTGCAGTCCCTCCTGCCCCGCTCATGCACTGCCCTTCTCATTCCTTTGCGCTCCTGCCTAATGCTGCCTGGCTGCTCCAGCCAGTCCGTGCAGTCACGTGCACCACATTCTATTCTCTGCACTCGCCTCTGCTTGCGAACCTGCCCTGACCGCAGATACTTGGACGCCAATGCGCTGTCTGGCTCCATCCCTGCCTTTATCAGCAATAGCCCTGGCCTCAAGCACCTGTACGTGTCCCGCTCTTGCCCTTTGCTCTTGCATCCGTTGATATGTATGCTTCGCTGTCACATCCACCACCCCTGCTGCCCCTGTTCCCAACGCAACCCTCTCGTCCTCATCTCACGGCTCCTCCCACAAATCCCCCACCCACCCCTCTGCTTGCTGCCCTCCCCCCTCCTTCCCCCCACTCCCCCCATGCTGCCTTGGCCCTGTGCCAGCGTGCTGCAGTACAATGGGTTTACAGGGCAAATACCGGACTCCCTGGGCAATGTCACCAACCTGGAGGCGCTGTGAGTTGAAGGCACAGGGCGGGAGAGGGCGGGTAAGGCCAGATGGGGAGTGGTAGGTCAGGGGAAGTGCATGGGGGGGACGAAGAAAGGGAGGGAGGGAGGGGGAGAGGAAAGAGCCCCTGAGCCTTGCTCCTGAGCCTATATAAGCTCCTCCTGTCTCCTGACTCCTTGGTTAGTTCTCAGTTCATTTCTCATCTACTTGCTGGTAGCGGCTCGCACCGGCGGCCGTAGGCCGCCGTCGCTCGCGGCGCAGCCTGCGGCCGCGCGTTAGGGGACGGCAAGAAGCTACGGACCTGTCATCTCTACAACAACAACATACAAGCGGGCCTTCTAGGCGGTTTCCAGGCATGGGGGTCCCTGGCGTCCCTTAATTATGCAGGTACCCACGCTTGAAGCACTGGCAGGGCGACTAACGCCCGCGGACCAGCATTACGCCGGTCGGCGATCTCCCGCTACCTCGCTGCGCGGAGATCCTCCAGCAGACAATACACGGCGCGCTCCAACTCCCGGAATACTGACACGGCGCCGTCGATTACTTCTACAGCTTGCGCCCCTTCCAGCTTGTCCTCCAGATCCGCCAGGACGACGGCGGGCCCCACCGGCAGCGGTATTCCCTGAGCGAGCCCGGGCCACGCGGCGGTCAGCGCCGCCCTCGCCGCTGCTGCCTGTGTCGCGTACGCAACCGCCTGCCTCTCCGACAGCAACCCCTCCTGTTCAGCGCAGCCGAGGGCATACCCCGACACCCCCACCACCGTCGTCAAGCGCGCGAGGCAGTCCCTGGCTGAGTCCAGACGCCGAAGCGTGTCCTCCGCCGCTGCCCGGATCGCCGCCTCGGGCACTGGTTGCCCGCTCCTCGCGTGGCCTGGGGGAAACTCCCCCGTCCGCTGACGCGTGCGCCCGTGACTTCCTGCCGTCAGTCCAGAGTGGTCCTCCCACCCACCGTTCTCCCCCTGCTCGCCGGTCCCCGCCCCTTCCTGGCCCACTTCCTGAGGAGGCGGAGCCTGCCCTGCTGGGAACGGTGCTGGCGCCGCAAGCGGCTGAGCGCTGGGAGGAGGCGGCGGCGGTGGGGGCGGAGGAATTGCCGCTGGCGGAACCGGAGTCTGCATCACTGGCGGAGTCCCCCCCAGCCCTGGAACCCAGGGGGGTTCCACTCGATACAAGATCCCAGGAACTGGGGGCCCCTGCGGCGGCCAGGCAGGGGGAAGCTGCGCCGGCGCCGCCACTACTCCTGGCAGGAGAGTCACGGGAGCCGCTGGAGGGGGAGCTGCGGGAGCCGCCGGCACTGGTGCTGGGGCAGCCGGTGCTGCCAATGCCTAGATTACCGCAGGCAAGCGTGCAAGCACCCGAGCGACAACTTCGTTGACGCTCGGGGAGCGGGCGGCTGAGCCCCCTCGCTGCACCTGCGGGCCATGCTGCGGGGGACGCGATGGCCTCCGAGACCCACGCCGGCGCAAATCACGCACTGGCAGACGGCGGGGTGGGCTCCGCCACTCGGGCGTCCGCGAGCGGTAGCGCGGCTCAGGGGACCGCGCGGGCCAACGACCACCCGCCCGCCGACCGTACAGCCGTTCCGGGGATTGCCCCTGCCCATACGACCGAGACTACGCCATCACGGGGAGGCGTTCGCTGGTGGACCCCACAAGGGCGTTCTCGACGAGCGCCAATGGCTAGCGCCGCGTCGACGCCGGGGAATCGCGGAAGCGAACGGCGGGGAGCGAGGAGGAGTATAGCTCGGGGAGGTGCAGGCGGCACGTTCGTCCAGGCTGTTCGCCGCAGATTGGCTGACGCGACTGTTATCTCGGGGGCAGAGGCCAGGCCGGAGAGCCCTGGCAGGGCGGAGATTAGACTAAGGGAGTCGGCAGCTGGAGGAGAGGGCGCTGCTGCTGGGAATGGCGAGGAAGGATCGGGTGACTCCAGATATACCCCTTCTTCCGAGGGGGACTCCGAGTCTGTGACTGGGGAGGACAGTGCTGCGGAAGGAGGGGGCCTGAGGCGGAGTGCGGCCCGAGCCGCCCCGAACCAGAGAAATGCGGAATTCGAGGATTTTCCGAACCTGAATCCCCAATTCCTCTCGCCCGAGGTGCTGGCGGTCCGGGATGACCTTTTCGCCCAAGTCGCCAACTGGAATATCGCTTCCCTTTGCGACAGTCGCCAACCCCCGCTTGCCCGCCACCCACCCCGCCACATTCGGGACCAATTCGCCAGCTGTCTGCTGACCCCGCTCCTCCGATTGGCCAAGGACCCTGACTCGGTGCCAGCTTGGCGACTTCTGATATTCCTTGCTCGCCTTACCCTCCGCGTTGGCACAGCCCGCAAGCCTGATTGGCCCTCCGTCGAGCGCAGTTTGGACTCATTTCGCCAGGGTTCCTGGGTAGATCTTTATGTTGAAGCTGTTGCCGCCATCACTCTCCCTCCTCCCCAGCGCCACATGCCTGACAGGACTGGGATTTCATCCCCGTGCCTCGGGCTTAGCTAAGCGCGGGAACCTTGGCAAAGCCCTTTAGGCGCTAGAATCCACCCCGCTTATCCCCTTGTCCCTCGGGTCCTTGCCTCTCTTGTTACCGACCCTGCTGTTCCTGTCTCGCGCCTTGACGCGCTTGTCGCTGCATTCGCTGAATTTGCCTCTACCTGCCGCCTTGACTACACTACCGCTCTAGTCTCTGACCCTGCCCATCCTCCGTCCGTCGGGGGTGCTCCTGCCCTTGGTAGTGACGTCTTAGAGGACAGGCACTACGAGCTTGCTTTCCTTTCGGAGGCTGCTCCCCATCTCTGCTCCATGCTGTTAGTCCCTGAGGGTGACCCAGACGCCTTCGACATCCTGACCCCTCGCACCTACGCTGAGGCCACCTCGGGACCCTGGGCCTCTCAGTGGATAGCTGCCATGGAGCAGGAGATGGCATCTTGGAGGTCCACCGGCACTTACGTCGACGCAGTTCCCCCGCCTGGGGTGAACGTAGTCGATGGTCGGTGGCTCTTCAAGGTGAAGTGCCTCCCTGGAGAGCCGCCTGTCTTCAAGGCGCGCTACGTGGCCAGAGGCTTCAGCCAGCGCGAGGGGGTTGACTTCTTCCAGACCTTCGCCCCGACCCCGAAGATGACCACTCTTCGGGCGCTGCTACACGTAGCAGCATAGCGCGACTACGAGCTTCACTCCCTCGACTTCTCTACTGCCTCTCTTCAGGGCAGCCTACACGAGCAGGTCTACCTGCGTCGACCTCAGGGCTTCACTGGTACCTTCCCCCCTAGGACCCAGTGGCTTCTCCGGCGCCCGGTCTACGGCCTGCGTCAGGCTCCTCGCGAGTGGCACGACACGCTGCGTGCCACGCTAGCAGACCTGCAGTTCTTTCCGTCCTCTGCTGACCCCTTGCTGTTTGTGCGTTCCGGCCAGACTCCGTTCTACATCCTTGTCTACGTAGACGACTTGGTCTTTGCTACTGCTGACAGGGACGCACTGGCCTCTGTGAAGGCTGAGCTGCTGAAAAGACACACCTGCACTGACCTTGGAGAGCTGCGTCGCTATCTTGGCCTGCAGATCTCTAGGGACGGAGCAGCACGCACCATCACTCTGACACAGTTACACTTGGTGCGTCAGGTCCTTCAGAGGTTTGGTCTTCAGTTCTCCTCCGCACAGCCCACACCTCTACCTGTACACCATGGGCTCTCCGCTCCCGTTCCTCAGGAGCCAGTAGAGCCCAGTGGCCCCTACGCAGAGCTCGTGGGTTGCCTCATGTACCTGATGACTTGCACTCGCCCATATCTCGCATACCCTCTCAGCATCCTGGCTCGCTTTGTGGCTACAGGCAGACACCGACCTCAGGACTGGTCTGCCGCTAAGAGGGTTTTGCGTTATCTTGCTAGTACATCGGGCATGGGGTTAGTGCTAGGAGGACGCAGGCCAGTGGTCCTTACTGGGCACACAGACGCTTCTTGGACAGACGACTCTGAGACGCTCAGGTCGTCGCAGGGCTACTGCTTTAGCCTTGGTTCGGGTGCTATCTCTTGGAGATCCACTCCCTCGTCGTCTGTGGCTCAGTCCAGCTGTGAGGCTAAGATCTACGCTGGTGCCATGGCGGTACAGGAGCTCCGCTGGCTGACCTTCTTGCTCACAGACTTAGGTGAGCGGCCTAGCTCTGCCCCGGTCCTGTACGCTGACAACAGGGCCATGATACTCCTGTGTCAGGAGCCTCGGCTTGAGGGCAGAGCAAAGCATATCCAGCTGCGGTACTTCCTCCTGCGCGAGCTACAGCAGCGCCGCCAGGCCCGTGTAGTTCACTTGGCCTCAGGTGCCAACACTGCTGATATCTTTACTAAGGCGCTTGCGCCTAAAGATCATCAGCGGCACTGTGTACAGCTTGGTCTTGTTCCTGTAGCTACACACCTGTTAGGATCCTGATTGTGTACTCTCTATTATATATGCCTGTCAGACTGGCCTTGTGGCCTTACCTCAAGTGGCTGGACTAGTAGTGTCGCTCTGGCTTGCTTTAGTCTTATTTGTACCCTTGCTGACTGGTCTCCAGACCCCTGCCTCAGTGGTTGGACTAGTAGTGCCACCCTGAGCTGTTTGCTTCTTGCTTAGCTTCACCTCTTGTCTAGCCTAGGGGGTGTGTCAATTTATACATGTTAGCTGCGTACAAGTTATAGGCTAGACTGGGGTATGCTTCTAGTGAGTACAACCAACTAGTACTTGTTCTAGGTTTCCACTTCTAGTTCTATTATTATTCAGTTCTTACTTTGACACCGCATACTTCAATACTTCTACGAGTTCCATCGACTTTAGACGCTGGTTTTGTCTTTTAAGACATATTTATCATACACTTGAAAAATAAAAGGTAGAATCTAATGTCAAACAGTGTTGTGCTTTTATTTCTGATATTGGTTTTGGTGTCTTAAACTATGACCTAATTGATCAAAATGATAATCCAAATTGCCCTTGTATTGGAGAGGTGTACTACTCTATGTGATGAAACAAGGTACTAGAAAAGGTGTACTGAAATATTGGTTGCGGTCCACTCATAGCAGGTACAGTGCAGGTCAAATCCAGTCTTCTGCTGCTTTGCCAAGCCAAGAACTGCCAGCCAGGCAAGAAACTTTTCCGCCTTGCTGGAGTGCCAACAATGCGCTACCTGCCCATCAGGTATGCTGCGATTCTAGCGAGGGAAATTGGGCTGCTGCTGCTGGTGCAGATGTGTCGCATGCTGGTGAATGTTGATGCGGCCCGCACCCCTGCTTCGCAGCCAATTACAGAAAGGCTGGGTGAACGCCCCAAGCTGGTTGCTGCAACTACCGCCCTGACACAAACCGCCTACAGCTTTGACGGCGGACAAAGCGGTACACTGCGGTAATGGATCGTAAAAATCTGTAACACAACCCACCCACAAATGAAAGAAGCACTGAGAACCTTGTGTCGTGCAATACGTCCGACTGATGCATTGCGGTGATGCCAGTCTCAACAAGTTGAGTAGCAATACCAAGATGACAGTGCTTGAGCCAGTACACTACGAGAGAACACATGAAACCTGAGGTTTCGTTGTCTTCCTGCATTCGCTATAGCCGGAGATATCATACGCATTGCCAGACTTGCGAGTTGTCGTGCTTGACGTAACGCGGAACGCAGTAGCGCCGGATCATTACATCGCGATTTATTTGAAATATACGATCATTTTCCGAAGCCTATCACATTCGCCTACTTTAGCGACCTCGCGCCGCGGGAATCAGCACGCTACGAGTGATGAGGTGGTTACCGACGATGGCGCGTGGAGAGGTTGCGAGGGCGGCGGTGGTAGCCTTGATGGTGGCGCGCTGCTGCATGCCTCTCGCACAGGCCGCACCCGTGTTGGACCCTGACAGTAAGCCGGTGTCAGACTCATGAGATTCTAGAAGCGGAGCTGCTAGGAGCGGACCTGATAGGAGCGGACCTGCTAGAAGCGGACCTGCTAAAAGCGGACCTTTAAATGAAGAAACCCATTTCGTGCATGTGCTACGGTGTGGCATGGCATGTGGTGCATGGTAGTGGACGCGTTGGAGGATCTGGCATCCGCATGGAGCAGCTTGGACGGCTCGGCCACATGGAGCAGAGGCACGGACTGCGACAGCATGGCTGCTGTGTACTGCGACGACGACGGGCATGTCGTTGCACTGTAGGTGTCATGATGGCCCGCGGCCCGACATGCATGCTGGGGCTGTCACTGCATGTCTTGAGGAAACGGGACGTATAACCCGGTTGGTCAACATTAGATACACGCCGCCGCTCTGCACTGTGCGTTTTTTTCCCTCGCTCCCATTCAACTGTCTCTTCCCCCCACTCACCCCCTTCCCCCCTCCCTCCTCCCCCCACCCCTCCCCTCGCCTTGCATTCCAGCGAAGTGAGAAACGGCAACATATCAGCGTCTATTCCTGAGAGCATCACCGCCCTGGAAGAACTGTCATGGCTGTGAGTGGGAGCAGAGCAAGGCATGGTGAGTGACATGACATGCGTGGGAGTGACATGGGTGGGAGTGACATGACATAGGGAACTGACATGATGATATGGGGAACTGACATGGCATGTGGGACTGACATGATATGGGTGGGGAGGCACATGGGTTCTGCTGTAGCAAATGGCATGACATCGTGGTCTGGCTCGTGTTCCACGGAGCCGACAGCAGTGGACTCCAAATCCTTGATATTATCTTATTCGCTTTGCGTCACCTCCCCCTGCTGCCTTTAACTCCATCTGTCTCCCTCCCCTCCGTCCTCCCCATTCATATCCACCTGTGCCTTCCCGCAGTTACATCAAGTCCAGTGAGCTCACTGGCTCCCTCCCCCCTGCTCTCTTCACTCTGCCCAATCTCGTACACGTGTGAGACTCACTCGCCCCCGCATTGCTTCTGGTTGCTGCCACTGCAGTCAGCACAACGGGTGTGAACTAGCTGCTCCATGTGCTGCACCATGTGCTGCTCCATGTACTGCACCATGTGCTGCACCATGTGCTGCTCCATGTACTGCACCATGTGCTGCTCCATGTACTGCACCATGCCCATGCGGATTTGTCCTTTCTCCCTCCCTCCCGCCCTTCTAGACATGTGCATTGCACGTTGGAGCTTCTGGCCCCACACGTTCACCTCAACTCTGCGCCTGCACCATGACCGTGGGTTGAAATAATGGATTTGGACGTGTCCGCCTGCATGTGCCTGTGTGCTGTATCGCCGTGTGTGCATGGTCCCCGTGCAGGGTTCTCTCAGGCAATCAGCTCACGGGCAACATACCCGATACAGTAGGAAGTGCAACAGGCCTTCAATCCCTGTCAGTCCCCCTTCTTCCCTGCTCCACCTCATTCCCATCCGTCTGAACGCCGTGCTCAGATTCTTCCAAGCCTCCTCTCGCCACCCTCCCTTCTTCCACCACCACCATCCGTCGTCCATCCGGCCTGCCTTTGAGTCGAGCTCATCATTTATTAGCCAGCATTTCTTGCCACAGCAACTTCCTTCCCTCCCGACCCAACCTGCTCTTTCGCCCATCCCTTCCATCCCTGCCATTCACCTGGCATCCGCCTGCCTGGCCCTAAAACCACTGCTCCATCGCTCCCTGCAGGCTTCTGGATGCCAACCAGCTCAGCGGCACCCTGCCCTCCTCCCTGGGCAGCCTCTCTGCGCTCGTCAACCTGTGAGCCCCCTCTCGTGCATTGCACCACCCTACGCGGGTATATATGATATGCCTCGTCTTGCTGCAGTGCACCCCGGAGAGGGGAGAAAGCGAGGGAGCGAGGCTAGTGAGCAGTGCAGACGCTACATGCTAAGATAAGCCTTCCTCAACATCATTCCCGGGTCTCCCCAACCCTCCTTGCAGCATTCTGAGCACCAACGGTTTCTCGGGCTCCATTCCGAATTCCCTCAGCAAACTGACGTCGCTGGAGTACCTGTGAGTGGCACCCTGTCACTGCGGCCGGCAGATGACTGTAAAATCAACTCAATAGTCACTGCAGTACTAGCGCCCCTGTTACAATTGCAGTCCGCAGCAAAGCATGCCGCTGCATGCTTTGCCAACAACATGCGACTGAAGTCTCATGCCAGTGTGATGGCGATCCCAGCCGCTACTGCTGCACTGCAGTCCCTCCTGCCCCGCTCATGCACTGCCCTTCTCATTCCTTTGCGCTCCTGCCTAATGCTGCCTGGCTGCTCCAGCCAGTCCGTGCAGTCACGTGCACCACATTCTATTCTCTGCACTCGCCTCTGCTTGCGAACCTGCCCTGACCGCAGATACTTGGACGCCAATGCGCTGTCTGGCTCCATCCCTGCCTTTATCAGCAATAGCCCTGGCCTCAAGCACCTGTACGTGTCCCGCTCTTGCCCTTTGCTCTTGCATCCGTTGATATGTATGCTTCGCTGTCACATCCACCACCCCTGCTGCCCCTGTTCCCAACGCAACCCTCTCGTCCTCATCTCACGGCTCCTCCCACAAATCCCCCACCCACCCCTCTGCTTGCTGCCCTCCCCCCCTCCTTCCCCCCACTCCCCCCATGCTGCCTTGGCCCTGTGCCAGCGTGCTGCAGTACAATGGGTTTACAGGGCAAATACCGGACTCCCTGGGCAATGTCACCAACCTGGAGGCGCTGTGAGTTGAAGGCACAGGGCAGGAGAGGGCGGGTAAGGCCAGATGGGGAGTGGTAGGTCAGGGGAAGTGCATGGGGGGGACGAAGAAAGGGAGGGAGGGAGGGGGAGAGGAAAGAGCCCCTGAGCCTTGCTCCTGAGCCTATATAAGCTCCTCCTGTCTCCTGACTCCTTGGTTAGTTCTCAGTTCATTTCTCATCTACTTGCTGGTAGCGGCTCGCACCGGCGGCCGTAGGCCGCCGTCGCTCGCGGCGCAGCCTGCGGCCGCGCGTTAGGGGACGGCAAGAAGCTACGGACCTGTCATCTCTACAACAACAACATACAAGCGGGCCTTCTAGGCGGTTTCCAGGCATGGGGGTCCCTGGCGTCCCTTAATTATGCAGGTACCCACGCTTGAAGCACTGGCAGGGCGACTAACGCCCGCGGACCAGCATTACGCCGGTCGGCGATCTCCCGCTACCTCGCTGCGCGGAGATCCTCCAGCAGACAATACACGGCGCGCTCCAACTCCCGGAATACTGACACGGCGCCGTCGATTACTTCTACAGCTTGCGCCCCTTCCAGCTTGTCCTCCAGATCCGCCAGGACGACGGCGGGCCCCACCGGCAGCGGTATTCCCTGAGCGAGCCCGGGCCACGCGGCGGTCAGCGCCGCCCTCGCCGCTGCTGCCTGTGTCGCGTACGCAACCGCCTGCCTCTCCGACAGCAACCCCTCCTGTTCAGCGCAGCCGAGGGCATACCCCGACACCCCCACCACCGTCGTCAAGCGCGCGAGGCAGTCCCTGGCTGAGTCCAGACGCCGAAGCGTGTCCTCCGCCGCTGCCCGGATCGCCGCCTCGGGCACTGGTTGCCCGCTCCTCGCGTGGCCTGGGGGAAACTCCCCCGTCCGCTGACGCGTGCGCCCGTGACTTCCTGCCGTCAGTCCAGAGTGGTCCTCCCACCCACCGTTCTCCCCCTGCTCGCCGGTCCCCGCCCCTTCCTGGCCCACTTCCTGAGGAGGCGGAGCCTGCCCTGCTGGGAACGGTGCTGGCGCCGCAAGCGGCTGAGCGCTGGGAGGAGGCGGCGGCGGTGGGGGCGGAGGAATTGCCGCTGGCGGAACCGGAGTCTGCATCACTGGCGGAGTCCCCCCCAGCCCTGGAACCCAGGGGGGTTCCACTCGATACAAGATCCCAGGAACTGGGGGCCCCTGCGGCGGCCAGGCAGGGGGAAGCTGCGCCGGCGCCGCCACTACTCCTGGCAGGAGAGTCACGGGAGCCGCTGGAGGGGGAGCTGCGGGAGCCGCCGGCACTGGTGCTGGGGCAGCCGGTGCTGCCAATGCCTAGATTACCGCAGGCAAGCGTGCAAGCACCCGAGCGACAACTTCGTTGACGCTCGGGGAGCGGGCGGCTGAGCCCCCTCGCTGCACCTGCGGGCCATGCTGCGGGGGACGCGATGGCCTCCGAGACCCACGCCGGCGCAAATCACGCACTGGCAGACGGCGGGGTGGGCTCCGCCACTCGGGCGTCCGCGAGCGGTAGCGCGGCTCAGGGGACCGCGCGGGCCAACGACCACCCGCCCGCCGACCGTACAGCCGTTCCGGGGATTGCCCCTGCCCATACGACCGAGACTACGCCATCACGGGGAGGCGTTCGCTGGTGGACCCCACAAGGGCGTTCTCGACGAGCGCCAATGGCTAGCGCCGCGTCGACGCCGGGGAATCGCGGAAGCGAACGGCGGGGAGCGAGGAGGAGTATAGCTCGGGGAGGTGCAGGCGGCACGTTCGTCCAGGCTGTTCGCCGCAGATTGGCTGACGCGACTGTTATCTCGGGGGCAGAGGCCAGGCCGGAGAGCCCTGGCAGGGCGGAGATTAGACTAAGGGAGTCGGCAGCTGGAGGAGAGGGCGCTGCTGCTGGGAATGGCGAGGAAGGATCGGGTGACTCCAGATATACCCCTTCTTCCGAGGGGGACTCCGAGTCTGTGACTGGGGAGGACAGTGCTGCGGAAGGAGGGGGCCTGAGGCGGAGTGCGGCCCGAGCCGCCCCGAACCAGAGAAATGCGGAATTCGAGGATTTTCCGAACCTGAATCCCCAATTCCTCTCGCCCGAGGTGCTGGCGGTCCGGGATGACCTTTTCGCCCAAGTCGCCAACTGGAATATCGCTTCCCTTTGCGACAGTCGCCAACCCCCGCTTGCCCGCCACCCACCCCGCCACATTCGGGACCAATTCGCCAGCTGTCTGCTGACCCCGCTCCTCCGATTGGCCAAGGACCCTGACTCGGTGCCAGCTTGGCGACTTCTGATATTCCTTGCTCGCCTTACCCTCCGCGTTGGCACAGCCCGCAAGCCTGATTGGCCCTCCGTCGAGCGCAGTTTGGACTCATTTCGCCAGGGTTCCTGGGTAGATCTTTATGTTGAAGCTGTTGCCGCCATCACTCTCCCTCCTCCCCAGCGCCACATGCCTGACAGGACTGGGATTTCATCCCCGTGCCTCGGGCTTAGCTAAGCGCGGGAACCTTGGCAAAGCCCTTTAGGCGCTAGAATCCACCCCGGTCAGCCCCTCCACCGCCGACACGCCCTCAGCTCTCTATTCACGCCACCCACCTGCCTCACTTGCCATCCCAGAGTGGGTCCTCTCACACGCCCTCGAGCGTAAGCTCACCATCTCAGCGAAATCCTTCCGCCGCATCATCAGGTCGCTACCTACGGCGTAGGAACCCCCCTCGGGAACGACCTTCGAAGTCCTGCGCGACGCGGCGCTTCACAACTCCGACATCTGTGGCCACCTTCTGGCCCTCACGAACGCGGCCCTCGCTGGTGCCCTTTGCCCCGAGGCCTCGGCGCTGCTCACCTCATCGCGCCTCCTTGCCTTCACAAAGCCAGGTGGTGGCACTCGGCCCATTGCCGTCGGCGAGTGCCTCCACCGTCTAATTGCCAAAGCCGCACTCCACCTCGCCACGTGGCCTGCCCAACTCCACTCTGCCCCCATTCAGTCCGGAGTCGCCATCCCCGGTGGTGCGGAGGTGATAATCCACATCACCCGCGCCTATCTCGACGTCAACTCGGGACACATCCCTCTCCAAATCGACGTATCAAACGCGCTCAACGCGATCGAACGCGCCGCCGTCTTCGTGGGGCTACGAGGAACGCCCTTGGAGTTCCTCGTCCCCTTCGTGCGGCTCTTGTACGGTGGCCCTTCCGCCCTCCATTGGCGGCTGTGGCCTCCGTCACAACCCAGCGAAGTGTGAAGCCTGGGGCCCGGCGGATGTGCCGCCCAAGTCGCTGCCGCCCGGCGTCTCAGTCAGCACCACGTGTCTACGCGTCCTCGGCAGTCCCGTGGGGCCAGCGGACGCTTGAGCCGCTGGCATCCGCGATCGCCTCGACACCGCTGCCGCCCCGTTGCCTCTGATTGCGGCTGGATCCCCAGATCGCCCTCCTCCTCCTCACCTGCTGCCTCGCCCGCAGCGCCAGCTACTTGCTCCGCGCGACCCCCCCCGAATGCCTCCCCCAGGCGGAGTGGGACGCCTGGGGCGAGCGGCTCTTCCACGCGGCGCTCACTGCCTGCCGCTCCCTTGCGCCAGACTCGAGAAGCGGCGGGTATGGGCGCAGGCATCCCTCCCCACCACCCTCGGTGGGCTTGGGATTTGCAACCCTGCTGCCGAGGCTGGAGCGGCATACCTCACCTCCACGGCGGCTGCTGCCCATCTGCTCAGTGGCTTCCTTCCAACCCTTCCCGAGACACTGGGCCAGCTCCTGCCCCTCTTCGACCCCGACCCGACCGCTCCGGGCCCTCTGCCGCGGCGGCAGCCGCGCTGGAAGCTGCCCTCCCGGACGCTGCTGCTGAGCTGTTTCAGGAAGAGAGGGCTTCCCCCGACCAACCCAAGCTGCAGCGGGCTTTGGCTCTGCAGGTCCAGGTGGAGCGCTTCACCACGCCCCTGCAGGAAGCTCGCCAACTACCCCTGAACCCGCTTCAGGGGCGTACCCAGCGCCTCCTCTCCTTTATGGGCCCGGGAGCGAGGGATTGGCCCTCCCCCTCTCCCCCTCCCTGCGCCTCTCCCCCCGGCCACTTCCCCACCGCCGTCGCCTTCCGCCTCGGCCTTCCGCACGCTACGCCGGGACGCTGTGATTGCCGGCGGCGTGTCGACATCCAGGACCCCCGACTCCCCAACCACCTTCTCCGGTGTGACACGGGCCCTGGACGCACTGGCACGCACCACGCCCTCCGCGATGAGTGCGCTCGGATCGCCCTCGAGATGGGCTTCATCACCCGCACCGAGACCAACCTCTTCACCCGCGTCACGAACCTCTGGGCGGATGCGGCCATCCGCCACCCCGACTCAGGGGCGGTTTGGATTTGTGACGTGACCGTCACAGACCCCATCTCGAAGGAGGACGAGCTTGCCCGCCGCGGTTCTGGATTGGCAGTCCGAATCGCCGCCCACGGCAAGGAGCGCAGGTATCCCCTGCCAGCCCGCCCTGAGTGGGTCGGATTCTACGCCTTGGCCGCCGAGACCTACGGACTCACCTCCCCGGGGGTCTTCCGCTTCCTCCGCGCCTGTGCTGAGCTGGCGGCGAAACGCTGTTACGACGCTGCACCTACCTCTCGCGAGGCCGACAAGCTGTTCCACGAGTACCGACAACGCTGGTCGGTCACTCTGCAGCGCGGGCAGGCCGTCACCCTCAACACGAAGATCAACCAGGCCCTTGCGGCTGAGGAGAGCCCGCTAGGCTTCCCCGCGGAGCCCCTCCCCGTGGGTGACCTACTGCAGGTCCTCGAGCCCAACCTTGGCGACCCTTAGGGTCGCCGTGGTCTAGAGAGCTAGGCGTTTGATGCTGCCTGTTTTGTTTGCTGTATCCCTCTCTCACCTGCCATGCCTGTACCATACCGCCTACTTAATACACGGACATATTGGGGAAGCTGGGGGGAAGAGGGAGAGGAGTGGAAGGGGGAGGGCCAGAGAGCAGGGAAGAGAGGGGGTTCGGAAGGAGGTTGAAGGAGAGTAAAGGCTGAGCATGGGGCCAGAGAGTGAGTTGCCGTGCTCACTACACTGCAGTAGTTGGTCTCTGCTCTCCCTGCGTGCGACTGCAACCTCTGCTGTCCCTCTCAAACCCCTGCCAAACCCTCCTGCGTGCACGCCCATCCTCGGCCACGTCCCCCTTCGTTGCTCTCTCAATCCCTCCAGCTCACCCTTCCCCCCCCCCACTTACCTCCTCTTTCCCATTCCCCCATCCTCCCATCCGTCCTTCCCTGCGTGCGCAACACACCTCATCAGGTCTGTGAGGGCCAACCACCTGACGGGACCCATTCCGCCATCACTGGGCAACTGCACTCGTCTGATAGAGCTGTACGCATGAGCAATGCATGCAAGAGGCATGGAGGCACGTACAGATTGGCAGGCAAGGGCAGGAAATCAACATCCCTTGCATTTCCTAGTTGTGTTCTTCCTTACCACGTACTCTCGGCCCTGTCTGCCACCCTTCCTCTGATTCACAGTCCCCTCTGCCGCTATTCCCCTCTCCACTAATCACTCTACTCAGACCTCTCGCCCCACCATCATCAACCCTCCCACCGGCAGCATCTCCTGCATATGATTGCCCCAACTCGCACTTCCCCTATCTCAATGGCAAAATAGCATCTTCCAATATCGTATCCCCGGTGTTTTTCTAAGCTGCAGTCGTCCCCTGTCCCTCTCTCCCCTGCGCAGCGATGTGGGTCTCAACAACATCTCGGGTACCATCCCCGCCACCCTTGGCAGCCTGCGAGGCCTCAAGTACCTGTGAGCGCCAGTGCTCCATGGGGGAGTGGGGAAGTGGTGGGGTGACGGTGAGCTAATGAGAGGAGCAAAGTTATTCTATATGTTGGACGGCAGTGAAGGGACGGAGATGGTGAAGGGTAAGGAGGCTAGTTGGAGAAGTTCGGGGGAGGGGGGGAGGGGTAAGGTGGGGGGGGAGGTGGTTTGACGAGTCTGAGGAACGCTTTGCAGCGGTGGTGAGGCCAGTGGAGGATGGATGGACAATGCTAGGTGCCAAGGTTTGAATCAGTCTTAGCACTCAATCTTCCTTGCTTGCCACACATTGGTGTCCTTGAAAGCGTTCCCCCCTCGCACGCTTCTTGTGTTGTGGCATGCAGAGCTGTAAGTGCAATGGCGAGTTGTGAGAATAACGACTTGACTCTGGGGTTGTACGGGCTGGTGCATGGCTGGTGCATGCATGCATGCATGCAGGTACATGGTTGACAACTTGCTGAGTGGTTCTCTGCCCAACGAGCTCTCTTCACTGCAGCAGCTGAAGCTCTGGTGAGGACTGGGCGGTGATCTGTCCACAGAGCTGCTGCAGGTGCATGGAGAGAAAACACACTGATATGGTATTTCTGAGAGCTACTCTCTCAGTTTGTTTCCTTTCTATCCTTGTGCGTCTATGCTGACTAGGGTAGCCTTGCACGTGGTGGCTGCTTGCCTACCGTTTGCTCTCAATGCGAAAGCAGGCTGACATGGACCTAACTGCCTGGCACGTTTAACTGTTCAGTTTGTTAAATGTTCCCGAGGCGTCCGAAAACGGTGAAGGGAGATGGTTGAAATGAACGGCAACAGATGGTGGACTGAGGCTCGTCTGTGTTAGTCTCCATTGTGACTGTTTTTACTTGATGCTAGTTAGGAAGGCCCCCAAACAGGTGGCTAAGTGTGATGACCCAACCTTGTCTGTGCTCAATCTTCATTACCGCTTCTCCTCCTTGTCCAAACTGTTCTATGCCTTTGGGACAGGGACACGAGCAGAAACTATCTGTCAATGGAGTTGCCTGCATGGATTGGCAGCCTGACGAACATGACTGTCCTGTGCGTGTCTCTATGCACCATGCCACGCCGCTTGCTGTCTTGCACCACGCACGTGCTTCTGTGTTATTCATGCTTTAGACTCTCCCCTTTCGTGCACCTTGCCACACCTTTCCACTCTGCATTGCGCCCTTATCAATCAATCTGTGAAGCATTCGCTCTATTGCTTCCTGAAACGACGATGTCTTCCTCTATTCCTGTCTTTTCTCCTTTCACCATACCCTGCGATCCGTCTATCCCTCTTCTCCCTACCTGCCATCCCTCGCTTTCTCCCAACTCTCCCCCCCCTTGACTTCAACCCCCCCTGCCCTCTCACCAACATCAGTAGCCTTGGCTACAACCGCTTCAACGGCTCCATCCCAGAAGCCCTGGGCAACCTGCACAAGTTGACATACCTGTGAGCGAGCCTGGGGGGGTAGGAGTGCAAGCTGCAATGGAGTGCATAGTGGAGGGAGGAAGGGGGTAGTGTTCAGAGCACGAGTGCGAGTGCGAGCGAGGGAGTGTGGGAGAGCAAGGGGCTCCTCGAGTGAAATGCGGTGGTAAGTGGAGGAGAGAGATTGGCAGATTGCGGCTGTAGCCCCTAGCAAGGCTCTACAATGGCGTGGTGAGGGTGGAGTTTCTCTTCAGAGAGGTGCAGCCTCTGCTATTCCCCGCCCAACCTGAACTCTTAACCTCCCTATCCTATCCTCCATTGTCCATGTCTTTGTCTACCTCCCTACCCACCGTCTCTCAGCACCCTTGACTACAACATGTTTTCAGGATCCATCCCCGAGTCACTTGGAGATATGACCGCCCTGGAAGCATTGTAAGTAGGCAGGAAGGCAGGCTGCAATCAGGTGCCTTTATCAACCGGTGGGACAAACTTAGACAGACAAGCAATCACTCAGTCACAAGCATTCACTCGGTCGCCTAATATTGATGAGTATGCTCTTTGTTAAGCAAAAGTGGGAGGTTCTGGTTTGGCCTGCATTTGCAAGTTTTGTTTCTGGTTTACGATCTAGCTAGACACCTTCAACAATAAAAGACCACGGCCTTTCTTCGAAGCCGGAGGTGTAATGTCCAGACCAGCTTCCTGTCAGCTGCCTGGTAGCCATATGGCGCTTCATCGCAACGGGCATGTGTTGGCAGATGCTCGTGGGGGCCTGAGTGGGCAGAAGTAGGCAGGCAAGCACTGGAACAAACTTTGTCCCAACCCATGTCCTTGCATGCCATCTCATGGCACCGTACATGGTATCACACATGGCATGGCAACACGTGGCACCACGTGGCACCACATGGCAGGTTCTTGGATGACAACTGGCTGTTTGGCACCATTCCAGCCTCCCTGGTCAACCTAAACCGACTCACTACCATGTGCGCCTACTCTCGCCGTGTCCCCTCCCCTGTGCCCTTGTGAATGATATACTTGGTTTCGTTATGAAACCAACAAACGGTTCTGCTTGTGCCGACATACGTTCCGTACAGGCATGTTCATCTAGCAAACAACATTGTTGCTCACACGAAGCATAGTTCACCCATTTGTATCTCTACATAAATGGACTAACCATCTCCAGATCCTTGTCCGACAACTACCTTTTGGGAACGATTCCTGCAGCATTCAGCACACTCACTCGCCTCGTGTACCTGTAAGCACACGCACTCACTATCCACGCAATCCCCAAAGCGTGTTCCACTCGTCCTATTGGAGTCTCCTAACCGAGTGGTAAAAGGCAGAGTAACTTTGCCTGGTCAGCGTGCCCACAACCCCCCGGTCCGAACCTGTGCCCTTTCCTCCCGGATCCTTAGGGCACCCACAATACTCCTTCCTAAGGCCTTGTACTCCCGTGTCTCCTCGCCTTCCCTCGTCAACCCCTCACCCCTCTAGTGGATGCTCTCAACATGCTGCGCCACTTGCTCCCTCTCACCAAGCAACCCCAAAGAGCCCCCATCATTTTGACCTCCCCCCGAGTGTGCGGGCTTATGTGCCCCCCTCCTCCCCTGTCTGCGTCATCTTGTCGGACTCATGTTGCCTCCTTGCCTTCATTGTGCCTCCTCACTGCACTCCCCTCCCTTTCCTCACTCCCGTGCCTTTTGTGAGCCTTGGGACAACGTCCTGGACAACAACCAGCTGGTGGGCAAGCTGCCCTCTCTGAAGCTCATGCCGTCCCTCAAGGCTGTGGCTGCACGCAGCAACTTCCTCACCGGTGCAGCAGAGGCCCCCCCTCCATGCCCCACATACCAGCTGCTGCTGCACTCCAACTGCTTTGCTCGCAACCTCACCATCTGCAGCACCCAGCAAACCATGAAGGAAGCTGGTTGGTGCAAGTGGTTCTGTGGGATCGAGCCCATGAACCCGCCTTGCAGCGGCCATGGAGTGTGCTACTCCCTGCCTGAGATCCCTGCTACCTGCGCTTGTGATTATGGTTATCAAGAAGGAACTGCTGCTGACACATGCGTCCCACGAGGTATGACAGAGATGCTACCACCCATGCAGCACTTCGGACTCAGAGACACTCCACCCATGCGCTCATGCTGCTGGGCATGAAACATACGCCCATGCTGCCATAACCACTATCTTACTCTCTTGCTAAGCATCCTCTACATCCCTTCTCTGCCCAGTGCAATGCTGCATCCACTTACAACGTTCACCCCTGTGATCCCCTGTCTTCACATTCCTTTCTGTGTACCCCAGGGCCATACATCCCCTCCGACCTCTCCTCCTACTCGCACCCGATGGCTCTCTTCCAGTCGGCCTCCTCTGCCCCCAACGGCTCCATCTTCCTCTCCTCTGCGCCATCCACTGCATCATGGGGAGCAGCCTTCACACAGCAGCCCATCGCCCTCTTCCTCCCCACCGCTCGCAAGGCGCCCTGTTACCAGCCCATTGCCTTCTTTGTTTCATTTGCGTTTAGGATGACCCCTGCTGCCGCTAGTACAGACACTACAGCAGGGGAGGGCCTGGCGTTTGTTGTGACTTCAGCTGCACCGCAGGGAGCAGCAGCGATTGTGGGACTGGGAGGGGTGGGGCGGCGGAGTGTGGGAGTGGAGTTTGACTCGGTGCTGAGTGTGAAGCACAGCGACCCCAACGACAACCACGTGGGCGTCAATGTGGGCGGCTCACCTGTGTCCCTCGCCTCTGCCACGGCCCCTCTCATCCTCAACGACGCCCAAACCAAGCACGCCTGGATCCACTACGACCCCACCAGCGGCGGCACTCTCCGAGTCTTCCTCTCAGCATCCAGGCAGCAGCCGTCAAAGCCTCTGCTGACAGCGAGAGTGTCTCTGTGCAGCGTGCTGAAGCCCACCGTGGGCGATGCCTCCTTCTTCTTTGGCTTTGTGGCTGCTTCTGCCAGCAGGTCTCAGCAGCACGACATCCTCTGGTGGAACATCGTCACAGGTGAGCGCTTAATTGAAGCCATGCCATGCTGCCTTGCATGCCATGGTGACTGCATGCACATATACAGCTCGCTGTAAGATTAGGGTTGGTCTTCCATAATCCTGCTTGGTCCAAACTCTAAATACACACAAATTTGTGTGTGTCTGTGTGTGTGTGTGTGTGTGTGTGTGTGTGCGCGCGCGCGTGCTTGCATGCGTGCGTGCATGCGTGTATGCATGTGTGGGTCTATGGGTTTCAATGTGTGCATCTGCAGGGGTGCAACCTGCACCAGACTGGCAGAATCAGGCACCTGGTAAGAGCATCACTTGCTAATGCATCCGCTCAGAAATTCAGAAAGGAACATGAATGGTCATCCTGGCCCCTTCACATTCATACTTGTTTTCTTTAAGCAACTGCTTACAGTGTGATGCCCTGAAAAGCATCTAGCTGCACTTCCCTTTTCTCAATCCACGACTACAACCCACCAGGCAGGGCTTTTGGCCAAGTGGCATCAGCACAGGAGGTGGCAGCAGGCAGTGAGGGCGACAGTGTGCCTTCTTCCTTCCACTATGCCAGCCTTTTCTTCCGCTGCAATGTGTCTGGGCTGCCTTCCTGGGACCTTCCTCCATCTATCTCTTGGATGCAAGACGAGTCAACCTGGCCTGTGATGAACCAGCATGGATGCGGTATGGCATGGATGCAGTGTGGCATGGTCAGTATGGCAAGAATGGGTTTAGGCATGCCTAGGGTACGGTTTGGCACTGATGCCACATGACATGGTTGTGGTATGGCATGGACGCAGTAAGGATGTGGATGGGTTATGTCGTGGATGGGGTATGGCATGGATGCGGTATGGCAAGGATCGGTTTAGGCATGCATGCGGTATGGAATGGGTGTGGTATGGCATGGGTGCAGTATGGCGAAGATGGGTTATGGCATGCACGTCGTATGACATCGATGCGGCATCGCATAGATGCGTATGGCATGGATGCGGTATGGCATCGGTGTGGTATGGTGTGGATGTGGTATGGCGTGGATGCGGCATGGCACGGATGTCTAAGGGCTTGAATGTGGTATGGCATGGACGAGGTATGGCATGGATGGGGGATGGCAGGCAAGGAGCTTGCATGGATAGAAGTGCATGGACAGGGTATAGGGTGGTTGATATCATATATGGGCACAGGTAAGAATGGATTATGGGATGGATATCGCAAGGTGTTGTGTCACCAACCTTCTTCATTGAACTTCCCCACTTCTGCTCCATCTGGGACCTTGTCCAGATTCATTGCAGCATGCTGCCACAAGTGCAGGAATTCATAGTGGTCTGAACTATTCTAAGCAGCACAAAGGCTCCTCCAGGATCTAGCAAGCTGGCACCAGTGCTCCCTTACTGCCACCCTCACCAGCCGTCCTCCTGGCCTCCGTGTGCGCCCCTCCCTGGCCTGCAGCCGATTCCTCGGCGTTCGCAGTGGTGGCAGCGGTGGAGGCAGCCTACAGCATCGCGAGCGGCTGGTCGCAGCCCCCCCGGCTGTCTGTGGAGGCTCTGCGCGTGGCCCTCTCGTCCAACTGTGACGACATGTCTCCCCGCGATGTGCTGGCCTTCCTGGCAGCTGCCACGCGCAAGGGAGGGGGGCTCGTGGATGAGGCAGCAGCAGCAGGCGCCAGTCAACGCAGCATGGCGTCCGCGGGCCGGCGGGAGAGGCTGCAGGTGAGGCAAGGCGATATGGTGGGAGAGGCTGCAGGTGAGGCATGGCGAGTAGGCGGGAGAGGGTGCAGGTGAGGCAAGCGGAGTGGTGGACACTCAGGATTGCACATTCCCATGATGGACATTAGAGCAGCAACAGCGAGATTTTAGGGGGCGTGACGGTTGGTGATGCAGGGGAAGGTGAGGAGGAGAAGGGGGAGGATGATGCTCATCCTGTGGTTGCACGTGCATTGGATCACATGCCCTTACCCCCATCCATAAAAAACGTGACCCAGACTATCTCTGTGTAGACGACCTTCTCCCTTTGTTCTGATATACTCGCAATTCCCCCACCTTGTTCCCTACATTGCCTGCCCTACAGAAGCCCAAGTACTACGGGATTGTGGGCTTCGAGGAGACCTCGTTTGGCGGGTGGCTGGGGCTGCTGCTGGCAGTGCAGCGGCAGCCAGTGGTTGTGAGAATAGAGGCATCCGCACCATCGTTCCTCAACTACGACGGGGTGAGATGCCATGTGTTTGTGATGGGGTGAGATGCCATCTGTGAGTGCATGCGATAGGTGCAAATTTGTTAGCCACGAATGAAGTTAACAGGCAGCTATTTTGTGGCTTTAGGCTGTAAGAGGTGTTCCAACGTTGAGATTTGGTTCATCTGTCTTGTCTTCTGTCTGCATGACCCATTCAGCTCGATACTCCATCAACATGCGGTCGACCTTATATGCTTTTTTTGTTTTCAACTCTGCCGTAATGTTATTTCCCACCACGTATGCCCACCCCACCGCCCAGACATACACGTATGCCGACAGCAGCTGCTTTCAGGAGGGAGTGAATCACGCGGTGCTTTTGGTGGGCTATGCTTTGGAGGACAGCTCTTCCTGGTTGATCCGCAACTCATGGGGCAGCGGGTGGGGGAATGCAGGCCACATGCTCATAAAAATGCAGAGCGGCCCGGGCATCTGCGGCATCAACACACTGCCAGGCCTCTTCCCAATCATCAAGGGTGCGTCCCTGCATGGAAAGGGACAGCAAAACCTGCCAACATGCTGCTATCCCTGCTAAGCATTCTGCTAACTGCCACGTATGTGTGGTCTATGCTGTGTGTCTTGCAGTTGCTGCTGACCCATGTGGCAGCAAGTCCATGCAGCTGCCAACATCATCGGAAGTGGCAGAAACCAATGCGTTCAACCCGTGTGGGCAGTTCAAGTGCTCCAAGTCTGGCTCATCTAACCGCTGTGCCTGTGCTGCTCCACACTTTGTGGAGGCCCTTCACTCCGATGGCTCAAAAACATGCGCCTATGGTGAGCAGACCCTCCCTCACACTCCCACTCTGTCTTCTTTCATCCCCTTCCCTTCCCTCCCAAACTCTTACCTTCTTTCGCAAACCCCTCCGAACTTCTCTCTCAATATCGCCTCCTCTACCCCTCTCTCCTGCACACCCCTGCCAGTGGACGCCTGTGGGCTGGCAAGCAGCAACCCGTGTGTGGTGGGCACGTGTGTGAACGATGGCAGGGGCAGCTACTCTTGTGTGTGTCCCCCGGGGTTCATTCAAGGAACCACCGCCAATGGAACCCTCTCCTGCGCTCCTGGTATGCTCCTCTCCCCTCTGCTCCTCTTCACTGGTGAAATGATGGGGAATGTTGAGGTGGTAAACATGAGAGACGATGCGGTAGAGTGTGCACAGTTTGAAATGAAGGAGCTGACGTGTGGGATTGGAACTAGACATAGCTCACGGGAGTCAACAGTTGGTGTTGGTGCAAAAAAAAGAATTGGTGTTGAAGCATCAGCACTGTTTGGCACTGATTATAAACCTTGTATGTAACCATGAGTGTGGAGCTCATAAGTGGCTTGATATTAAATTGATCCTCCTTAAATGATTTTCTTCGGTGTTAGGCATGTCGTCATGCTAACTTTGTGCATGCTCTGGCTATGCATGCAGGTGACAGCAAGGGCAGCTTCACGGTACTGGGCAGCAATGTGCGGTGCTCTCACTTGCTGCCTGTGCTTGGCCTCACACTGGAGCAACTTAAGCAGCAGAACAAGGTTGGCACGCATCCCTCTGTCTGCCTGTGCTTGCTGTCTGTGCTTGGCCTCTTCTTCTCCCAGCACCCTATTACTCGTGTGTCTCTTGTCAAGCCACCAGCGCCCTTTCCTCGCTCATGCGTGCAGAAGCTCTCCTGCACCAAGCCGATCCCAGTGAACTCCAAGGTTAATGTGAAGCCGCCTTTGCCTCTGCCAAGGTGCTCTCTCTTCTACACCACCCAACCTGTGAGTGTGCCCATCCAGGTCCCCACTGCAACAATCCTCTCACTCTGGTGCTGCTTAGATATGGTGCAGACTCTTACAGCTGCTCTCAGGCTAAGTGTGAACTCAAAAAGAAGAAGAAGAAGAAGAAGAAGAAGAAGAAGAAGAAGAAAAAATAACGCAATGGCTTGTGCTGTTCGCAGGAGGATAGCTGTGCATCGATTGCAGCGCTGTTCGGCCTGACCACGGGGTGCCCCGTGGAGGGTGAGGCATGCGGGGAGGCGGTGGTGGGGCTCAACCCCGGGCTGGACTGTGCAGCGCTCACGGGCAGCCAGGCCGTGTGTGTGGAGAGGGAGGAGAGCAAGGCGGGGGTGGTGGCAGTGTGTGAGCAGCAGTACGAGCTGCAGGGCAGTGGCGGCTGCGATGCTGCAAGGATGGCCGTGGATCCACCTCTGAGCCCCTTGGAGTTCCACCGCCTCAACCCCGGCATCAACTGCAACACCCGCCTGCCGACTGATTCAGTGGAGGGTTATTCACGGCGCAAGGTGGGGAGTGCATTTGATGTCACTTAGATTGCATCGTTGTACTCTCCACCTGCAGCTTAAAAGTGAGAATCTCGAACCCCCGAACTCAAAGACTTAGGTGTTGAAACCGGCCATTTTGGCTGGGGACCAAAACCTTAGGTCTTGAGTTCAGGGGGTTTCAAGATCCTCGCTTTAACAAATATCTCATTCAACTATTGCCATTAATCTCTGTCTGCAGGTGTGCATCAGTAGCAACACCAGCTACAAGATTGCGACGTGCCCAGGGGGCAGCTACAGAGTGGCAGCTGGAGACAGTTGTGCCATGATTGATGTGAAGGGGTTTTCTAGTATTAGGGGCTGCTACAGGAAGTTGAACGGCTTTGAGTGCCTAGAGAAGATGATCGTTGGTACAACAGTATGCACCCCTACAGCTTCTAGTGCAAGGGTAGGAATATGCTCAATGGTGGAATAAATTTATTCCACATGGGTTGAATTGAAAAGTTAAGCTGCATGTACCACCCGCGGTAATTTTTTTCCTTGTGTATCATGATTCCATCAGTAGAAATCCCCTTTTTTTAATCGTACGGACGAACAATAGAGTTGATCGTAATACTTATTAAGTAACGAGGAAACAATACAACTTAGGCAACATCAAAACAGCAGGGAGCATGGATATAGCTAGTCTAGAGCACACGGTCAGCAGGGCTGTCGTTATCAGGGTATTTTACCCTGATTCCCTGATTTCACAGGGTATTTTTTATCAAAGAAGCTTAGGATAGGAACTACACTTAGGAACCTAGCTTAGCTAGGAAGGAAGGAAGGACGCCATGGAATGGCGTGAGGCAAGTAGATCTAGGAGTAGGCAAAAGTGACGAGAAAGAAGAGGTGGACTAGGAAGAGAGAGAGGTACAAGGAGGGGATTGTACCCTCTACAGAAAGGTTCAGTAACACTACCAAGCCTATCAATTATATAACTCAATATAATTTTAACACACCCCCTAGGCTTGGTAGTCACAAGCCCACACACACCCCCACACCCCCAGTCCCATCAGCCACAATGCTCCCAGCAGGGCCCAAAAGGCCGTGGAGATGGCGACGGCGGCAGTCCCGACCGCGGCGACAGCGACGGCGACGACGGGCATGCGGCGGCAAATGGCCTGCGGCGACGGCAGCGGCGACGGCGACGGCTTCGGCTTACGGCGGCGGTAAGTGCAGCGGCCCCCGCCCTTCCGGCGGCGTGTCCAACCTCCGCGACAGGGGGACGACTGCCGAGAGTCTGCGGCGACTGTGGATAAGAGGAGGCGACAGGGAAAAGGGGGGACAGTTGGCGTGCGGGCGGTGGCGGCGTCACAGGCGTCGCGCAACCGGTTGCGGCCCGACGGCGCCGTCACAGAGCGACGTCGACGCTGCAGCAGGACGTCGACGTCGCGACGGCAGAGGCAGCGTCGATGCCGCAGCGGGACGTCGACGCTGCGACTGCAGAACGACGGCCCGACTCCACGGCAGCGCGTCGAGCCGGTCGCGGCACGACGCGGCCAGTGGCAGCGCGACGTCGCCACTGCAGCAAAACGCGGCCGCCATGGCCGCTCGAGCGAATGAGGGTGAGGAGTAAATGGCGGAAGCGTGAGGAGGCGGTCCAGCAGGGAGGATCTCCTGCTCTGATACCATATCAAAGAAGCTTAGGATAGGAACTACACTTAGGAACCTAGCTTAGCTAGGAAGGAAGGAAGGACGCCATGGAATGGCGTGAGGCAAGTAGATCTAGGAGTAGGCAAAAGTGACGAGAAAGAAGAGGTGGACTAGGAAGAGAGAGAGGTACAAGGAGGGGATTGTACCCTCTACAGAAAGGTTCAGTAACACTACCAAGCCTATCAATTATATAACTCAATATAATTTTAACATTTTTTTGGCCAACCCTTAATTTTCAGGGTTGGGTTTTTTTGAACCCTAACCTCTTCAGGGTTGTATGTTGGTGAACACTGAAAATTTCAGGGTTTGCGTTATCCCAACACTGAGTTTTCAGGGAGTAACGCGTACGAACCCTGAATGCGACATCCATGCGGACCCTGAGTTTCCTCGAAATGGCCCCCTTACGCGTGACGGGGCCCAGTCCATTGAACACGCCCAGCATGCGTCACGTGGGGAATATGCACTCGGCAAGATTCCCGCCGTGTACACGCTGTATGTTGCCATTACAGCAACATTTGCAACCGTCAACTGGCATTCGTGACTCAGCACGCAGCAGACGAGGACTGAATATGATGAGCGCGGCAATGTCAGCCTTTGTATGACATCACCCCGCCAATCATCTCTGTGCAGACGATGCCAGCGCAGGTGCGTCTCGCCGTTGACGTTATCGCCATGGCGATACGGGTACCTGGATGGGTTATGCACCATCCATGAAAATCGAAAGATGGGGCTTCTTGGTCCTCTTCCCGTCTTCTTCACCAGCTCCTCCTCCAACCCAGTTTTTTTTTTCTGTTCTTCACGTCACAGCTACGAGATGCTCCAGTCTTCTGTCTCCTCTAGTTTCGTCGCGCCGATTTCTCATTTCCATCATATCCGCCGCTTCTAGCCATGGCGGATGTAGGAGACTCTGGTGAGTCTCCCACTGCCGATGATGGTTCTGGACTAGGTAGGGACCCCCCCGTGGAGGTCCGTAGATCCGCTCTAGACATCTTGTGGTCTCCCACCGCAGTCGTTACACCATCACAACACGTATCTACTCCCGCCGCTCCCTATGTACCTCCGCCCGCTGTCGCCTCATCTAGCCGGGGCCCTTTGGTTCCAGACTGCGAGACAGCCATGACCGTGCGTTACACGGTCGAGTGTGCATCGACGATTTCATATGGGAAGAAAGCACGCGTCCGGAAGTACACCCAGAGCACGATAGTCCTCGGCGGGAAGCTACATCGACGGTCGCCGCCTCGCACGTCGCCTGAACCTCAGGCCCCTGGTATTCCAGAACCCGAGCCACCGAATCTCTCAAAGAAGGAACTCATCGAGCAGAAGTATCTCATGGCTGAGCACAAGTATAAGACCAGCTGGCTTCCATTTTTCCCTTGGCTTCTGCTAACGAAAACGAAAGACGGTTACCGTGCTTTGAAGTGCAGTGTGTGCAAGGCTTTCGGCAAAGAGACAACACCGTACTCCAACAGCCGCGATGGGGCACGTGACCTACAGACGCAAGCGATGCGGTTCCACGAACACACGACAGCCCACGAAGTAGCAGTCAAGTGTCAGATGGAGATTGCCAAAGACATCGCCAGCACCCAGAGACGCATGGAGAATTACGCGCGGATTGACATCGAGGGGAAGCGTGTCATGAGGCTCCTACGCTGCGTCGACTTCCTCTGCAAGTGTGATGCACCCATCAGCATGTACCCGAGGCTACTCCGCTTCATGGCCGAGCAGGAGACACCGGACATTCCGCTGCAGTCTTACGGAGTCTACCTGACACAGTAATGCACTCATTCGAAGTACACCATGTCCTTCTTTTTTCAAAAAGGTCTAACCAACACCTTGTTGTCACTTCTGCAACTACAGGTATGGCTTCTGTCAGCTCGTCAACAGCCTGGCAACGTACGTGCAGCGCCGACAAATGCAATACATTCTCGCCTCACCCTACCTCGGCATCAGCTGCGACGAGAGCACTGACCACACTCGCGGTAAACATCTTATTGTTTATCTGACCTTCTTGCATGCGCATCGTGTTGTCACAGAGTTTTTTGCTCTCCTGACCGTCGAAAAGTGCGATGCCGCGTCTCTCCTCGCCGTCCTTCTGGCTCACTTGCGAGCAACTGGCTTCGACCTCTCCCGAATCACCGGCATGAGCACCGACGGCGCCTCTCTCATGGTCGGCCGAGACAATGGTCTCGTCGCCCGACTGCGCGAGCACATCCCCCACCTCGTCTCATCGCACTGCATCGCCCACAGGTTTAACCGCTTGTCATTTCAGTCGCTTAGGGTTCCTACAACTGCTTGTCTAAAATTCCTTCGTGTGCACGATGCAGGGAAGCCTTGGCGGTGAAGGACGCGGCCACTGCTTCTCCAGACTTCGACATGGTCGACCTTGTGATTCGGACTCTGGCCGATCTTCTGGGACGTTCATGTGTCTAGAGTCAACGCTTCAAGTACCTGCAGCGGGCAATACACAACACCAACCTTGAAGTGCAAGGAATTCACACCGTGCGCTGGCTTTCAAGGGGTGAGGCTGTGAGGCGCCTCTGTAAGGTCCTTGGCGCCGCTATCATTCTCTTTTATGAGTACTGGCATGAGCTGTATGACGTCGTCATCTGTTACAAGTTCCAAATCTGTATTTTTTTCCTGGCGGACGTGCTCGGACGTGGCTTTCGGCTTTCTTGGCGGTCTACGGGCGCGGAGGGGGCAAACGCGTAAAGGTGCGGGGCATCGACAAAGACGGCAACCCAGTCACGCACACCTACACCATGCACGAGAAGCAGATCGACGGGCATGCCTTCCGCAGCAAGTACCCCGATTGCGAGCGGCTCTGCGCGCAGTTCGTGAAGGACACGATAAGCTTCCTGAAGACGAGGATGCTGGACCTGAACAATCTCGGCCCGACGAAGCTCTTCCGCGTGTCGAAGTGGCCCCGGATGAAGCAGCAGAGAGAGAAGAAGCTGAAGGAGTACCTACATGGCTGCATTGCCTTGTTTGACAACAGGCTGACAGGCTTTTCCTTCCAAGCTGCGCAGAAGGAGCTGGTCACGTGGGCGCCACTAATGCTGAGCCACCATGCCGACGAGGGATTCCATCAAGGCCTGACGAACTACCTCGGCTCGACGGAGTCGACCTTGTGAGAGAGTGCTGCTCGAAGGACGATTGTTGCATTTTTTTTGGGTGCTTTTATTCTTCCCTGTGGATGTTGTTTATCGATTGTTGACTAGCATCGCTAATGCACTGGTCTTGTTCCGTGTACTCTGTTCCCCCAACCCTTTTGGAAGTCGCTGGCCCAACCTCATGCGCTTGTGGCAGGCGTGCGCTGTCCTGCCGCTGAGCACAGTGGAGTGTGAACGAAGCTTCTCGCGGCAGAACGTCATCAAGTCATGGGTGCGGGGCGCGTTGTGCAATGCACGCCTCAGCGAGATGATGGTCATTTCCCTGCTGCAGTACGAGACTGACTGGGACGAGGCCCTTGGGTGTTGGCGCGAGAAGCTGAGGCGCCCTGCTAAGTCTGTTCTGTTTGCCGCAGCGGAGAGGAAGCGTAAGGCGAAGGCGATTGAGGGGGCAGAAGAGAGGGTAGAGGAGGAGGCAGTCCCCGACTACATGGGGGATTGGGCAGAGGATGAGGGAGAGGGGGAGGGGGGAGTGGGGGGAGAGGCTCCTCCTGAAGTGGAAGACAACCCCTTTCTGTCCGATGACGAGGCAGAAGACGAAGTGAACATGGATGGCCCAGAATTTTAGTCAAGTGTAGGTAGTGGCGTGGAATATTGTGAAGTCTAGACTAGATAGAGGACTTGTAGACTGGCGTGGCGTAGTGATGCTTTTACTTAACTAGTAACTGTACATTCCTAGTTGATTTTTTCCAAGTGCAAT